CGGCAGGGTGGAGGAAGCGGCTCCGAGCGAGACCGCATTGGCGGCTCGCGCTCGGGGCCAGGCAAACAGCAGGGGCGAAGCTGGGGGCGGCGGGACGGGCACTCCGAGAGCTCGGGGCGGGGTGCGACGGCGGGCGCGGGGGAGAACGCTACGCCGAGCGCGACCGCATTGGCGGCTCGCACTCGGGGATGGGCAGACGGCAGAGGTGGGAGCTGCACCGAGCGAGACCGCGTTGGCGGCTCTCCCTCGGAAAGGGGCAGCGGGTGGAAGCTGAGGACGGCGGAGCGAGCACTGCAAGTGTCGGGGCGGGATGCGACGGCGGGGACTTGCACGACGTGCGCACTTGCAAGCGCGGCACTCTTGCCAGCATGACAAGCCGGGCAGGATGGTCACGGTCAGGTCACGTGACGGGCTCATTCGCGTTGAATCTCCTAAGTCCGTGTTGGCTACTGTATCTCTATGTCATAGCATTCCCAAAGTACATAGAGATACATTTCAGTTCATGAGGCTGTCAATGGTAAATGAATAGGACATTAGAGAAATCAACCACCTGAGACTAAACTATTGTAGCAGTGTTTCCTAGCCATCACTTCAGTGATCTACAGGGTACATAACTTTGTTGTTGGCTACAGAGATATCTGGCTTTTCAGATGTACATGCAGGGGATGTGTATATAAGCTAGGGGTAGATGGGATGAACTGATATTACAGAGGGAGCCATGCAAGGATGAGGTGTCAGCAGTAAAGTACCAAACCCCAACTCCAATACTTACACCTAGACATGGTCTCTAAGCTCCTTGTACATGGACCAGTGCTAATATGATTGACATTGCAACAACCTTCTATGTTGATGGTTTCAAGCCCCCTTGTACCTACAAGACAGTACTCTCTAAATGGTCAGTCATCTGGCATGATTTTACAGTTTTGTGTGATTTTTTGGCCTTTTTGTGAAATTTTAATAGAATATAGTCGAATTATGAACTATGTATTCTCATGTGTAGAAATTTGCCAGAGGGGGCATTTCCTGATGGACCTGGACCAGGACCAGCCGCCGTATATAAGTGCACGTGAGGCTGCGATACGGGAACGCGCTGGAGACTTGCCCCCTTTACAGATCTCCGCTTTCGCTGCGCTAGAGTTGCGATAGAGGCTTTTCGAGACTAGTGTTGTTGTACGTTTGTTCAGTCAACTTTTGGGCCCGCACCAACCGCGTGCCTCCGGTAGAGCGGAGGTAGCCATGGCTCCGAAGGACCTCACCAAACATCAACTTTCATCCAGGCTGGGATACGAAGAGATAACGCCTGCGTTTCTTCTCAAATTCAAGAACAAGCTTGCAGGCGTCAGAGACTCTGAACCCGAGTACGACGAGTATGACGAATACGAGCCAGGGGACTCTGGGCGACCACCGATACCGCGGCGACCGCCTATACCTCAGCGTCCCTCAGATGATCCTGGAAGCGCGGACGAGGCTGACAAAGACGAAGATGGAGCTGGCCAACTAGACGAAGAAGACGCTGATGACGAGAGGCCACAGGTGGTTGTTCTCAGGGAGGGAAAGCACTTGAGCGCCCGGGAGGCAGAGAACGAGCGAAGGCGTGGTATGCACACACATTTGTCGACGTTGCCCTACGCCGATGCCAACCATCAGAAAAGGGCCTTCCTCCTTTAGACGACTCCGAACCCGGCGTTTCGCAAACGGGCAAGATTACAGCTGAAGATACCAAAACAGGGAGCCTTCAACCGTCTCAAAGCGTCTCGATTGGCACGAAGAAATCAAACACGAAGATGTCCGCTGCTAAACGCAAGGCCATGGCAATATCGCATGACGACGATGGTCCAGCGGAGGGGCCAACGAAGAAGAAAAGCAAAAAGCGTGTCAAAGAGAAGAAGTTGCTTTCCTTCGGAGACGATGCTTGATCGAGCCTCGCTCATGGAGCTGGTAGGCTTGCATATTACTGTTCTGAGTAGGTTGTGTCACCACTTATGATATCGTCAGACTATTATACATGCAGACGAGGCTCGGAAGGCGCTCAGATCGTTATTGCAACCCTAGAAGGCAACACAGCACGCCGTGGCATGCGATGGCGTGCACGAACGGTTTGCGCACCGTAGACCATCATCGATCCTAGTCGTCAGCGGGAATATCAGTATCCACAGCGGCCTTCATCGCCTGCAAATTCTCGTCTGTATACGGGGGATACCGTAGCTTGAACCCTGCTTCGGCGCTGCATGGGCACCTTCAATCGTAGGCCCTTTGGTGTGTGTTGCGTCGCTCACCAGGCTGGTATATCCACTGTACTACGCATGTGCGTGAATGTGTCGAATGTATACCTCCCGATTTGATATCCGTCTATTCTGGTCAGCCTCAACGTGGGCAGAGGAGAAACAATGACTTACAACCGGATTCTCCAACACCCCCGAATGGGAGTTCGCTCACTATCCGGCATCGTTTGAGCTGAGATCGGCTGAGCAATCCGCATCGTTACCTGACAGTTGTTGTATAGTATCGTTGAAGGCAAGGGTACCGCTCATGGTCCGATCAATGACTGGTGCACGCGGTCAGTATAAGCTCGGAGGACACGTCGTGGGATGCTCACTCTGCTTCTGTAGCTCTGGATTGTTCGTAAACGCATACAGAACGAGAGGGTACGGCCGCGAGTTGACGAACTGGATGGCTTCTTCGATAGACGAACAGTGACGATGGGAAGGATCGGTCCAAATATCTCCCTGAATTATTTACATTTTGGCATCCGGACACGACATGAGCGGGAGGTGTACTCACTCCGACATGAGGGAGTCATCGACGGGAACGTTCTTCACCACTGTTGGTTCAAACCTGAGGTCCTCCTCACGCGTTTTCCCACCAAAGAATATATCGCCCTTCGTACTGTTCAACAAGGCCCTGAGACGCGCGAAGTGCACACCGGAGACAATCCGAGCCATAGAATTCGACTCTAGTGCGCTTCCCTCAGGATAGAAGCTATCATACTGAGCCCTCAAAGCGGACGCGAACTCGTCTTGTATCTGTTCGGGGATCAAGACATAGTCGGGGGATACGCAAATCTGGGTCGTGGATTAATTGATAATACCATAGAAAGAGCGCAGAGTAACTCGCCTGTCCAGCGTTAAGGCACTTCCCATAGAAAATACGTCTAGCAGCTAGATTCAGGTCGCAAGCCGGGTCTATGATGGCGGGTGATTTCCCGCCGAGCTCCAGCGTGCACGGCGTCAAATGCTTTGCTGCTGCGGATGCGACGATTCTGGCCACACGGGAGTTGCCTTCGACTAGGGATCAGCGAGTAGGACTCCAAGGTTCGCATCGTAAGTACCAGTGTAAAAAACTGGAGATAGTGAGTATGGGTCCTGTGATGTATACAAGACGGCGGGACTTACTATGGTCCTATCGATATTCTAGCAACTGGAGGCCCACGTTATAAGTCTTCTTGCTGTGATATAACAGACGAATGAGCAGCTACCTTCGTGGTCTCTTGTACCGCCCCGTTGACGACGCGATAAGCAGAGGCATCCAGATAGCGCGGCAAAAGGTCAACTACCAGGTTGGCCCAATGGGGAGCATATTCGGATGGCTTGAGGACCGCGCAGCAACCAGCTGCAATAGCTCCAATCAGTGGGCCGATGAGCAATCCTGCTGGATAGTTCCATGGGCTTTCCAGGCATCGCAGAGCATCAGCACAGGACGTGAATAGCAGTCAATCGCAGCTTACGCAATGATCAGAACTGTGCCCTTCGGCGTCTTGTTGATCGTCGGTCTCCAAGACTTTTGCCAGTCTGGTACTTCGATGAGTTCCGGTTTGGCCCACGTTGCGACCAGATTTGCGTTCATTACCGCGCGTCTGACGTTTGCTCCTACTTCGGACGCCGCAACCTCGAGCCGTGGCTTGCCCACATCCTAGTGCAAGGCCTCCGCGATGATGTCCTCATTCTCTTGGAGCATCCGCGCTAGCTGATGAAGCTGATGACGACGCCACGCTATCGGCTTCGTTTTCCCGGTGCTGAAGGTGGCGCGCAGTTCTTCTCGTATCTGGGCATATCTCTATCAGGACAGGGAAATAAATATAGTCGAGGCTCTACCTTGGGGAGGTCTTCCATAGCCGTATGCTTGAGTTGCGTCATGTTTGCTTGACAGTCCCAGTTATGCTGTTGTTGGGACGCGACACACGAGAATGTACACTTCGACCCTAGCGGCTCTTATACCCTTAGCCAAGATGCTACCTGCGTGGACAATACATTTGGTTTATGTGCACCCATGAGCCACGCCACCGAGGACCTATTCAGAGGGGACTGGAGACACTGAACGGTTTCGTCAGACTGCATTCGCCGTCCAGCTTCTTCTCCCACTCACCGTAGTAGAGTTCAGCACCCCAACTCGCATGGAACGAAGGATTCGCACCCGTTTTACATAGGTAATCCCGCGCTATGTATTGTTAGCCCGCACCACCGTCTTGGGCGAAAGGCGTGATCTGCCCATGTGAACGCAGTGACGCACAATTCGATTTGAGTCCTGCACAGGGATATATGTATGCCAAGCGAGATAGATCTGTGATATTCGATGATGCATGAAGGTGAACAAGTCCGTATTGATATGTGACATGCGTTGGAGGAGGAACAAAGGATGGACGCAACGAGGGTGACTGCCTAGGATTGCAAACATGTGGGTAAAACAGAAGAAATCAGGAAAACAGACAGACGCGCTGATGAATGAAGAGAAAGTCCGCAACTATAGATTGAACAGACACCACACTATCGTTTGCCGATGATCGAGAAGCGATTCCTGAGCTTCCGCACGGTCCCGGTGGACCGCTGACTGTCGTATCTGCCTCTCTGTCGTGTCGCACGAGGTGTAGAAGGATCGCCGCCCGTAGGCGATGGATCTGCCTCTCTGAGCGATTCTTCACCTATGTTGAACAAAGTGGACAGACGAGAGCGCATGCCCTTCGTGGTCGATGGAGGCTGCACGGGGTCTAGCACGGCGAGGGCCGAGGTGCGCTTCTGCACCAGACGTCCGGGCCACAAAGCGCTCGTTCTCTTCGAAGCTCGAGGAGTCTGAGTAGGCGAAATGTGCTCCGCTGATGACCCTGCGGAGATGAGCGTAAAGGCAGACTCCATAGACGGCTTCGCGCGTGGATCGGGGATGAACGGATACGGTCGCTGGCCGGAGCCCGGCGACGGCCTGTTCTGCAACGCGGCTGGAAGGTGGGCGCGGGACTCCGGGTCGACGTCAACGTCGAACTCATCTAAGAGCTCTCGCGCGTATGCCGGAATACCGACGTCCGATACGTCCACTTCGGCCAGGATGTCGGCGCGCGAGCGACCTTGCGATGGTAGGTATATCGTCGCGGTGCCGGCTGGTGCAGATTGCTTGAACATCTTGGGTGACCCAAGCGACAGCGGCATGGCGCCTGACGTCGGCGTGGATGGTGCACCGTGTGCGGTCGACGTCAGCGAGGACGACGTAGATCGCCCCGAAGATTCCGGCTTTCCTTGTCGCTCCTCTTTGTTGCGTGCACGCAAAGGAGGCGGTTTGGGTACCGAGAGTGTGAAAGACTGGTCGTCGCGCAAAGGAGAGGACGGTAACGGAGATGTTCGTGAGAAGGAGAGGATGAAAGGGAGGAGGAGTTGGCCGTGTGCACGTGGTGAGCACGACGGAGACGCGTTGGCGAAGCCGGGGCGACGCCTGTTATGCCGCAGCGGCACCCGCGTACAAGAACATTCGGCCATGCGAATGAGGTTGGCCTCTCGACGATCTATAGCATGGTTGCAGCTTTAGCAGGCGAAGAGCAGCCTCAGAGAACCATGCTTACCTAACGGTCTTACTAGAACCTGACCCTGACGAAGTGCGTCTAGTCTGTTCTTGGTAGCCTTAGCGTCCTCGACCAGTATAGCCGCCCTGCGTTCTGCCATCCATCGCTCCTTCTGCGTATCCTGATACTTCGAGGGATCCATCTCCACCACCGCCTTCCTGTCGCGAAGACAGGCGTGGAGATGCCTCGCGCGCTCCTCGGTGTCACGCGCCAGATCGCCGAGGAGTGAGATAGCCCGCTCCAAGCTCTTTACGACAAGTTCCTCAGGTGTTGTTTCCGGACAAGACTCCAGTTGCTCTCGAGCGCGCGTGCGGGAGGCTTCGAGACGGGCCAGGCGCGTTTGCCTTCGTAATGACAGCGTAGACGGTGACAGATGCATTGTCTTCATGTACACGACGAGCGAAGATACTTGATCCTTTGAATTGGCAGGTTGTAGTGTCTGTCGGGCGGTCAGTATGTGCATATACGAATAGACAGGCGGGCGGACCATGCTTGTCGGGCCCGAGGCTAGCGTCTCCGGGGAATTGCATGAGTATAGATCGTGGTGAGCGGTTCGTACGGTAAGCGTTGTCATATTGTTGTGCTAGCCGTCGAGACAAGGGCGAGTCATTCCTGCGATATATACAGGATGCTCGTAAAAGGTGCCCGTTTGCGAGAAGTTGCCGGGTCGCCGCTTGCTGTCACTGCCGCAGGAGGCACGTGCCACGGTGATTATTGCCGACGAAGTTCGTCTCGACTTGCTCGTTCTGCCGATTATGCACGCTGCAGATATAGCTAGGTAACCGGGGTACGCGGGCAGGTGTTGCCAGCTGCTTTCATATACACTGTCGTGCACGTGTCTACACAGGATACATCCCCGGTGACAATTCCTGCTTACAGTTTCCATCCTCCCGCAAGACCCATAACATTCTCCGGATCATACTTCTCCTTTATCGCCTTGAGGGTAGGAAGATTCGTCCCATACAAACTTTCCAAGCTCGATCCGATCGCTGCGTAGTTGGGATACTTTGCCACGTTGGGCTCTGTCAGGCCGACGGGTTGCCCAAGCTCAGCAGCCTTGGCGCGAATGTTGGCTTCGGCGTCGAACACTACTTGGTTCACGGAGGCATCGGAGGATGCTTGCGTCCAGAATATGTTCGTGTTGGTGGGAAGGTACCGCCGCGCGCGAGATGGGGGGTACGCGGTGGGAGGGAGATTGGGCAGCGGCGATGGGCCGCTGTGATCCAGAATGTCGGGGAGGAACGGCTCAGCGGTGAAGATGACGATGAAGGTGTCGTTAGGGTGCAGAGCTTGGAGTGCGTTCGCAGCAACCTATGGGAATCGGTCAGGCCGGGTTGTGCGGCTTCAACAAGTTATTGCTCACCATAGACTCGTTTGTCAAGGCGTTCAATAATTCGACAGAGTAGTCGGTGACAGGAATGTGATTGTACCTCGTCCTGGCAACGACATGTTAGTTCTTCTCTCAGGAGACAAAGAAAGGATGCAGACCTGAAATCTGTTGAACCTGGACTGTCGTTCATGAGAAAGTCCAAGAATGAGCTCGTCTTCAAGTTCGATTGGAGGGCCGTTCCAGAAAGCGCGATGAACGCGTCAAAAAGCCCAGGCGGCGGAGTAGGCCCGTCGTAGAACAGCTGAAGGGAAACGATAACCTGAAATACCGTTACCTCAATGAACAGACCATGCCAGAGAGCGTGCGGAAACTCACTGTATCATTGGCGAAGCCAATAGACGAGAGGACAGCAGCTTTCGGATCCGTGCTCTTCTCCGAGAAGTTCGCAGTAGCCGCGACGGCCGATTTGATATCGAGTGTGGTCAGTAGTCCTCCCTGGGCAAGAAAAGTCTGTGAGCTGATGGGCTCCCATAGAAATGCTGGCTTCACTCACCCACACCTCTCCCTGGGGGAACACGCGGAAAGTGATTTTCGTCACGATGCCGAAGTTATTCCCACCACCCTGTGGTCCGAAGTATGAGCTGCGCCTCTAAAACAGATCGGCGCTGATGTTCACCTTCAGTCCAAAGAAGAGATCGGGATGCGAGGAGCTGGTCACATTGACAACGTGGCCACTGGGAAGGACAAGCTCGTATGCTACGACCGTATCGATCGTGAGACCATGCTGTACGGCAAATCAGTGAGTATCTTGCTAGTAGGAATACGACGTGAAACGCGTACAGACCTGGTTCGCTTTCCAAGAGTAACCTACTCACTATTTAGCGTTGCATTCAGATCTAGAATGGCATCATTGCATACCACCGCCAAGAGTGAATCCTCCTACGCCGATGCCCGTGACGCGACCGCCGGCGACCGTGACGTTATGAGGCGCCAGTGCAGCATAGACGTCATCGAATACCAGTCCAGTCCCAACAGCGACGGTCTGAGATGCAGCGTCGTAGTCGATGCCGTTGAGACGCGTAAGAGCGACTTCAACTCCTGTTAAGGCGGAGGATGAGTCTCATCTTCACCCAAAGTGATGACTCGCATTTGCTTACCTGACGTGGAGGAGAAAGTGGGATTTGTGCTATGACCACCACTTTTGACACCGAAGGGCGGACGCGTATCGGCAAGAATTTTTATCTACGTTGATATACGAGGGTATCGGCAGCCTTCTCTGGCGGTCAAAGGATCGGCAGCTTACAATTTTGGCGACATCACTGACATTCCCGGGCTCAACGGTGCACGTCGAGTTCTGTGTGCTGGAGATAGTGTAGTGTGCGTTATCCTCAGCGTATTGAGGCGATCCTTCGAGCGCGTGATTCACGGAGTGAGATAGCAGGGTAAAGCACGGCTTACCTGGGAAGAAGATTTCCGATGCCGACGACAAGGTACGCGAGATGAGTTGGCAGACAGCTGACGCGTTGTTGGACGAAGCCCCAGCAACGGACAGAAACGCGAGCCCCAGTATTGCGAGTGCGAGAGATCTGTGAGTTCTCGTCATGTTGACTAGCTCGATGACGCAGATACAATGTCAAGCGTCTCTTTCACGCGCACGAAGCAAGGCGGCGGGGACGAAGTCTTCGTCAAGCCAAGGTAATACGCGGCTCTATCTATTTATTGCTCTGGTGCGCCGAGCAAATAGGCATTACGCGATTGCGTCCCGCGGCAGTGTCTGGGAGAGAAACTGGATAAAAGGGCCGCAAGTGGTTATAGGATTCATGGTGAGATGATTGGGATGGATCGAACATCGAGTCATGCGGGTGCTCGTGGTCGATTGGCAGCAGAACGATGCGAGTTGATCTGCTTCAGCCGCATTAGCCACGCGAACTGAAGCCTGTATGGGGTTTTCCTTATGGACCAGGATATGAATACAGGCCGTGAACGTTTGAACGCGTGGACAAACGTCTTTGGTCACTGGTGGAGACTGCTCAATGGGAAAGTGTGATTACGGAAGCAGCGCTCGCCAAAGCCTCCTCAGCGGCCAGCAGCTGCACATCCTCCAGAGTCCACGCCCACTTGACGCTAATCACCCAACGCGAGCGTTACAACATGGACTTGATCGATACCAATCCCGGAAAAATCCGATATTCTGACCAATATTCTATGCCCATCATCGAACCCGGATCCATACAGGAAGTGAAGATGAACATGCAGCTCGCGCAGCGGCAACTACAATCCGTGCAAGAGCTAGCTCGGAGGGCTATAGCTGGCATGTAGGTATCCTCTGCTTGTTGTCTCACGATGAACTCCCGAGACATGCGAGCGCTCTGCCCTCCGCCATCATCAGCGAGAACGCGTATCGACCAGGGACAAGTGCAGCGCAGACGACGGCAGATCTCGCGAGCCTGAAGGACACGCTTCGCGTGCTCCTCGACTTTCTCAAGCAAACCGGCGTTGGCGATCTACCCCTGCTGCCCGCCAACGTCCAGCCTCCCCAGGAACAGCAGATGCAGGAACTCGAGGCGGCGACAAAGAAGCTGTTTGAGCGGCAGAAGCGATTGCAGGATAGCGCGGCTGTCGTAGTCAACATCATGAACTCTCAGGTTCAGGGCGCAAGTCAAGGCGGAGAACCGTCGCATTCGCAACACAGTCAGCGACGATGATGTAAATGAAAGGAAGATCGGTGCCGGTCTCAACTCGTGGTTGACATGTATGCGACATGTGCGGAGCTTCAGTCGACGCCTCTGATGCCTTTCCCAACAGGTACCGCATGGAAGTTTGCGATTTCTACGACCCACACGTACTTCCGTCTCACCCCCTTGCATCCCAGGCGGCTTTATATTTGCAGACTGAGGACCGCGAAAAGATAATGACGCTCCCTTCCGAGGCATGACTAGCCCTCAGGTAGTCACTATCAGAATATATAGGGTATCATAGCCTTCCGTCCCTTGGGATACTCCGTACCGAATTCCTTCTTATACGCCTTGTGTTTCTTCAGAGCCCATAGTGCCATCTGGCCAGTCCCCACAACGAGGAACAGCCACGCTGCAAAGTAATCAATTCAGTGCACTCAAACAACGTCGCGGACGGAAACGATCGCATACCAGCGTATGATCCGGTCATGAGTGTGATTACGACCCAAGCACAGATCTCGAAGAAGTAGTTCGGGCAGCTAACGAGGTCGAAGCCGTATCCGTACGGGACGGCTCGCTTGGTTGTACCTTCGGGACGGAGGCTCCGGAGCGTCAAGTGGGTGTGGAGGTTGGAGAGCTCCGCGAAGAGCCACGCGGCGGCATAGGCGTTCAGCCATGTCGGGTCGTCGCGCACCGTACCCCGGATATATGGCGAAGGGGCCGAGAATGGGGGGCTATACACGGAGTAGGCAAGCAGAAGTCCAGAGAGGAGGTGATAATGCGCCGAGTTCTTGAAGATGTTGCGAAAAGGCATCGTTGCATGCGAGAAGCGATGTACGAAAACGGTTTCGATCTCACGTTTGAGGAAATGAAGCAGGACCATCGCATATACGTATCTGAGTCAGCAATTCAGTATTGGAAGCCGAGCCATAGCAATTTGTACTCGCTGTTGCAGGCGTGAGTGTTGAACAGGTCCTCCGTAGAATATTCTGGGCAAGTTGTAGATGAGAGGATGGATGATCAGGGGCCCGACCTAGGACGAGCCGGTGGTCAGCATGTGTCCTTCGAGAGCCTTGGAAAACATGGGTTTTGCATACATATTCAATCATGAACACCGTCCTCCAGCTGATTTGAGGCCCTAAATCCTTTACTGCGAGCTCACTTGACACGTCGGCAAGACGCGTCGCGTCATCAAGTGCTTTCCGATCGTCCTTAACGGAGATTTTCTGGCGTTCCTTGTAGAACTATACATGCCCCATAGTAAGTGCATGTATCGCGGCTAGTTGATGAAAGACCCGGATACCTTGGGACATCTTTTCGCCAACGCGCTCTTAACGTCTCCAATGGTCGCGTCTTCAGGTAGGTCCAAAGTAACTGGCCATGCGAGCCCGCGTGCAACGGCTGGCGACCGACCAGCAGAATTGACGGTTACGGAGGGCATCTGGTAGAATAAATACCGCTAGGAGGGTTTACCAAGTTGAAAAATCGACCAACTCAGAAGAGCCACTGTGACTTCTCGACTTGCGTCCCGGAAGTGCAAATCACGTGAACACTTTCATCCCGAGAATGGACCGCGATGACGTTTCGACCCGAACTTGACTTTACTCATCTCAACCTGTATTGTGTCTGCGCCTTGTGCTTGGGTCTCTGCGTCGACCCATCAAACTCTGAGCAAGTATGCAACGAGCTCTACTATCGTCGCGGCCGCGAACATCTTTGCCATTTTACCTGAATTCGAACCAACGCACATGGTCAAGTCCACAAGGACTGCGCTTCAATAACTCCAGTGCTGACTCGAACGCGGACATAACGCCAATTGACCTCGAGTACGACGCAGTTTTGCCACCCCATACCGTTCGGTCGTCGAGACCACTCGTGATTCTCCACGGGCTCTTGTGTGTGTTGACAGTGCATATCCTCTTATATCTTTTACTCAAGTCGCAATCACGAAATCAGCGGGTCCAAGAGGAATTGGGGAGGACTCTGCAAGCAGTTCGGCAAGGAACTTCATAGGCCGATATACGCGCTCGACCTCCGAAACCATGGACATTCGCCGCACGCGCTGCCGCACACGTACCCGGCCATGGCGGCGGATCTCCTCCACTTCTTCAAGAAGCATCATTTCGAGAAGATCAGCTTATTGGGCCATAGCATGTGCGTAGGATCTTCCGCTGGCACCGAAGAGTCCTTCAACGACGTAACCCTAATCTAGGGGAGGAAAAGCGGCCATGGCAGTTGCTCTGTCTGATGCTTTACCTCCTGGGCTCCTGGAGCATCTGATCATTGTGGATATTGCTCCGTCTAAAGGTTCTTCGCTTTATTTGATTTATATCCATCGTATTGACGAGGTTCCCCAGGATCGCTGTCGCCGGAGTTCCAGCGATACATAGAAGTGATGCACCAGATAGAACAGGCACACATATCTACACGTAAAGAAGCGGACCAAATGATGAAATCAGTCGAACCTGTGAGGCAGCGCCTTCTTTCTTCGTTCGCATCTCCTGCCTTTCTTCGACCTGCTGTCCTGGTATGGACGTGTGGCGTGGCATAGGTGGCGTTAGGGCCGGGCCTATGTTCATGCCTTCCACCATCCTTCACATTCCAATGCTAACACGGGAATGTTTAGGATCCCTCGGTCCGCGCGTTCCTGCTCACGAACCTGGTGGGCTCAGCGCCACTCAAGTTCCGCGTTCCCGTGGATACGATACGGTCATCTCTAGGTAGGCATGTTTTGTTTTCAAATTGAAACCTGAGCCTGTCACTGCTTTTTGTGCTCACCCGCACTCGTATTGCTTTCCGTCTCCCCGTGTAGATGCTCTAGGAGACTTCCCTTACGACTCTTGTTCTCAGCGCTGGGAGGGCAAAACTCTGTTCATAAAAGGAGAGCATAGCAGATACATCAACAATCGAAATCAATCCAATTTGGAGCAATTCTTTCCCAACATGAAGTTAGAACACTTGCCGACCGGCCACTGGGGTGAGCTAAACAAAGCCATTTGGATAGCTCTGCTCTGACCATGTGTACCTTTGACCTTTCTTAATGCAGTACACGCTGAGAAGTGCGGTCCGAGCTGCCTTTTGGTGTCTCATGAGAGTTGACGCACAATCAACAGGCCTAACGAATTCAAACAGCTTGTCCTGGATTTTGTTCGCAGTTGATAGCCATAATATCAGATATTCATGTAAGCTCTCGTGATCGCACTCCCACTTCAGAATCACCTCGTTGATATGTTTTGCTGTCTTTCAGCCTAGTAGATTCATAGACGGGCCGGCCTCATATAACTATCTGACGCGACCTGAAGAATGCATGATATCATATCCAGCCCGCCTCCTTGAGGAGCTCTCGTACTCGGATCGTGTCGTGTTTGATATCACCATTCAAAGGCGCAAAATAGGTGCGCTTGCCGCCGGCGTATCGCACGGGATAGCTCAAGCCCGGGCCCTAGTGTCGGCGGATCAGCATTGGTTGGCCCAGAATACATCACCGGCAGCAAGTCGGGGGTGCCTGCCGTCTCGCAAGGGCTCCCGATAAGCACCCCGCTGCAATGGGGCAAGGGGCCTTCCCGGGGTAGCCAGAGTTACGAAACTGCGATGGGGGCAGACTTACCGCTCTCGTCTCCGTTCTCCGTGTTGCAGATCCCGCTACGATGCCTCGCGTCCAATCTCCGCCAGAACTGAGAATCCAGACGGGGTCACCGGGCTATTTAGGGGGGGTGACGAGCAGGTTTGGTTTTTAGCCGCCGGCTCGTGTTCGGCGGAAGAGCGAGTTGCACGATGCACTCACCTCGAAGGTGTACGGCCATGCTTCGTCGAGGTCCATTGGTTCAGGGCCGCCGCGAGGCTCTTTTGCACAGGGGAGGTTGTCGAGATCGATGGACTCTCCGTCATTGGATATCATTTCGGATGACCCTGTGGAGTCCGAACCTGACCTGATAGCCTTCGACTGCTGTCGCTGGGCACGTTTCGAGGCGCCATTGGGCTCAGACCTGCGAGGTTTCGTTGACGGCATTATTGACAGTGAATTCAGAGCAGCAAGGTTATGTCTGGCGGACAAAGATGGGGCGGGTGGAATATTTGGATGGACGCTCGGAGTTTGTGACCCTTCAGTATAATTTATAAGGATTTGGGTGGCACGTTATGGCCATTGTCTTTGTGGCCAGAACAAGTGCAGGACACGTCGCAATTGTGACTCTACTTAGCGACGAATGCAAAGGTGCACAAAGTACTGCACCAACGACCTGAAAGAGAAGGATACCGCATTACTACAGTTAGTTATAGTGCGCTTTGTCCGAATATACTGTAGGACTGCAGGTGCTTTGCTCTGGTTGTTGACCGCGATAGCCATCGACGCGGACGCAGAACGTTCGATAGCGGCACATCAAATAACCCACCTTGCACCGTGTATTCATGAAGTAAGTTCGGCGCTGATGACTAGTACGTGATAGATCGTCGAGACTGATATGGAGGTCTTCATGCTCGGTACTGCCGGTACTGCAAACCCATGTCGCTCTACTACATTCACCCGATATCTCCGCTGTCCCAACGGAAGTACCGTGGGGGAAATTTCTATGCGGGATGTGAGCGACCAGGGCCTGGGCAATCGAACAGCGAGCGATGCCGTTGCCCTCTTCAGATCCTCTGAGAGTGAGGCGTTTTGGCCTAACATCGGTGTAAGGGTCCAGTGCGTGTGGTTGTACGGTGACCTCAAGGGAAGCCCCAACCTCCCCAAGACGACCTTAATGCCCGCATTGTCGGAGACTGCGCAGCTGCGTCACAGGATTTCAACAGCAAGGGATCGGGTGAGGCGTGGTAGATGTGGTCAGCAAGCACGATGCGGAAAGCGATTCCGAGTGGCTGCGTGCACTCTCGGCACAAGGTCACGTCTTTGGCCTTTGTTTCTCACCACGATCACCACCGGACGTGTGATGCGTCAACTGCAGCCTAGGGCACGCATTTTCATCCGACCCCTAGTCTTGCTTCTGTGATTTCTTCGAACTCGCGATCGGAAAAATGCCAGGGTATGAGCCTAACTGCTTATGTTCGGTGGAGTCACGCTGCATCAAAGCTAGGCGCAAAACTGCCTTTATCTGTGTTCTCCGGACTGTCTCCTGTCCAAACAAGTGTGCCGGTTTCCGTGCTTGGCACTTGCTAAACAGCGCTGCTCCTGAAGCCCGGAGTAGCACGTTGCCTGACTCTCGGCGTGAAGTCACCGGAGCCCGATCCGTCTTCTACGACTACCGTAATCTAGATACCCCACTCCTCTCTAGGAAATCTCGATTGCATCTGGGAGCTGTGCTGATTGTGTCTATCACGGCATGAAGTCTTCCTCATATTCCATCCGTGCCTCCCAACCAGATGCAATCGGCGGAGGTCAGTTGCTGCCGGCGAGCGATTTAGAAAACACGCGGGAATGACGGCCCTCTCATGTCCCCTACCGGCCAAGCTTGCGTTTGTATGTCGCGGTTTGTCTCTTATCTGCTGGCAGCAGATGGTGGCGTTTCTGTGGCTGCTGTCCCGACTGCGTAAACGCGCCCCCGGTATTCTGTTCCGCATCCCGGAACATATGACTTCCAGGGAGCCTAAAAGCCCGCGCGATATCGGGGAACGCTCATGAGCGAAGCGCTGTCCGTACATCGCTTATAAGCTCCCGAGCCTTCCAGCGCACTCCCGCCTTGTTCCCCTCCAGTGCACCCGACATGTTTCTCCCTTTCGTGGTCGTATCTCTTGTCCTCCTCGGATTGATACTCAAGAGGCTCGTCTTCCGACCAAATCATCCCGCGATACCCGGACCCAAGCCCTACCCTATCATCGGCAACCTCTTTGATCTGCCTCACGAGCGCCAGTGGATCAAATTCACGGAGTGGGCACGCCTGTATGGTGAGACGCAGGTTTTGTCAACTTAGTATGATCTTGAGAGCTGAATCCCGTGCAGGCGAGATCGTTCATGTGCATACGTTTGGCACATCAATCATGTACGTGGTGTGATGTGACTAGGGTTATCGGATTATAATTAACGATCGCGCGAGTCTAGTGTTCTCAACAGCGTCCATGCAGTCAAGGAGTTGTTGGAACGCCGATCTGCGATATACTCCGACCGCCCCCATTCTGTTATGCTTTGTGATATGTCAGTCCACCGAACTCTGCCTTGACGTTATCTAAACTTTACGAAGCATGGGATACGAATGGGGCGTCAATGCCATGCAATACGGCGGTATGATATCGCCATTGGATTTCCGCTTTCAGAAACGGCGCTTATTATTGTTTTGTCAGATCGATGGAAGACCCACCGGCGGATCCTCCACCAATCCTTCCAGCGCGCCACGATCCAGAATTTTTGGCCGATCCAACATGCAGCGACTACGCGACTAGTGTCTGCCCTTTGTAGCAAACCGAACAACTTCTGGGAACATTGCAAACAGTCAGATCCTCAGTCCGGCTATGCATGACCGCCTTACTGACTTCTTCTCACTCTCAGCTTCTCAGCTTCTATCGCCGCCAAAAGCGCTTATGGCATAGAGCTCTCCGATCAAGACGATTGGTTTATTCAGCAGCAGCAACGCAACTTCGAATACCTCACGATCGGAGCGACGCCCTTCCGCTGGATGGTCGATATAATTCCTGCGCTGAGACATGTACCCGCGTGGGTTCCTGGCGCCGAATTCAAAAGAGTAGCGAGAGCTGCGCGTGAATGTTGGCAGGTGATGTTGGAAGCGCCTCTCGCTTACGCAAAAGCTGCAATCGTGGGTTTGGTCAATATCGATCCAGCCGACGTGACTTGACGTACGATTGCATCTATAGGAGACGGGAACTGCGCCAGTATGCCTCGTTTCGAAGTGTCTCGAAGGGTCTGAAAAATCAGGCCTGTCGCCCGAGGTGCATGAAGGATACGTCAAGAACGCAGCAGGAATAGTTTACGTTGGTCAGTTCGCTGTCCCTCGGTTCATATTGGCGGAGCTAAATCGTACGTCTATTCACCAGCCGGAATGGATACGGTAATATAGTTCCGTGCTGCGGGTTTTACACGCTGATGGTCATGCATATCATTTCAAGACTTCTAGTGCATTGCACGCATTTATTCTCGCGATGGTTTTACATCCAGAAGTGCAACGAAAGGCACAGAAGGAACTGGACACTGTCCTTGGCGTCGAGCGCACTCCCAGTTTCGAAGACCGCCCAAATCTCCCATACATCGAAGCGATCATGAGCGAGGTAGACACGTGTACATGTCCGCTTCCGGAACTGGCGAAGCTAAATGCATCTCGTCAGGTCCTTCGCTGGGTGCCTATCGCGCCCGTCGCACTCCCGCACGTCGCCGCACAAGACGACCAATACGGCGAGTATGTTATCAAGAAGGGCACACTCGTCTTTGGTAACTCCTGGTCCGTGGAGCTCGCTTTATTCTCATGCGATATCCTTCGATCCGCTTACTAACTTATTTATCTCAGGGCTCTCTTACACGACCCGGATATTTACGCGGATCCTTGGGTGTTCCGTCCGGAGCGGTTCATCAAATCGGACACACAAATCCCGGAGACTGATCCAGCAAATCTGTCTGTATACGGATACGGTCGCCGGTGAGCCCGCGGTCCGCAACGGCCCGACGGATTAGTATTGACCTTCTTTGCGCCACCAGAGTATGCCCAGGGCGCTGGCTAGCAGGTAGGACTCGCTCGTGATGCATGCGGTCGAATTTCCCTATCTCACGATTCACCTAGATGGGTCGGTGTGGATCGCGATTGCGACTATACTGTCACGATTCGACATATCTCCCGCTATTGACGCGCACGGCGCACCCATAGATGTAAGCTTCGCTAGGGATCAACTCCCTGCCTTCAACTCGTATGTGATCCACCTTTGCGATGGCCTCTTGCGAGACAATTGAGATAATCCTAGCGGACCGCTTCCGTTCCCATGCTCGATCACTCTACGGAATCCGGGTCGCGAAGGAGGCCGAGGTGTGTCAGATTGATGCACCGTTGTAGCTGAGTGTACCGCGCAACTTGGTCTTATTGTGATACTGTAGCTATCGAAATGGCGTTCGTGCTGGCAGTCATAACCTACTATATGTTTGCGTAGACAAGCTTTAACTTTGACCATGACAACTTCGTCTAACCCGGCGGAGACAGTTTCATTGATAACGATGGTGAATTCCATGTATTACTCTGCAATCGATCCCCAGTAAACAGGTATTAAGCTTATGACTCTATGTGATTAGCTTCTCCATCCTGGCGCCGAAAGGATGGTCCTGCGGATCTTCATGCCAATGTTGCGCCCTGATAGCCTTTCCGAGGCCCTCGCTGATTTCGATCGCGAGGTCCTCGTTGATTTCGAACACGTCCTCCTCGATTTCGACCAATTGCGGCTCCTCTCGCCTCCACCAGGAATGTCCCAACGCAGGCTCCGAGGGCCAATGCACCTCAACGACCTCGAGGCATTTACATCGGGACATGAGATCGGCGACGAACTGCATGAGGATTTCGCGATCACGAAAGTGAACAGCTCTGGGGACGTTGTCGACCATCAACGCAAAGTAGACCAGCTCGCTGGAACTTAGAAGGTGCGGCAATTCCTCCTATCGCGGATTTAGTATACTTCTCATCTAGAGAGACGGGGTTGGATAACTTACGAGCCACAGTAAGACGTCCGCAACATTGCCGTGTTCGCACATATCGAGATGTAAAAACCGGCATGTCGGTCCAATGAGCTTCAAGAAATCGGTCTTCTCTCGTGGGAGGGTGTCCGCGCAGACGCCCAACCTGAGCACCTCGGGCCTCGCGTGAACGATGAAATGATGAAACGTCTTCATTTTGTAGATGGCGCGTTCAGCGTCGCGCCTGCGAGCTGCGTTGAAGCGTTCGATGGTCGCGCCCATCTGGAAGACCTCCTCGATGTGCAGTTGGCGGATGCGGCACTTGAGCTGGTAGGTGATCACCCCGTCGTAGCCAAGCGTCAAACTCTCGAGCCCCTGCCAGCAGGGAATGCCGACCATGTCGACTTCCAGGAAGTCGGGTTTGGGGGCGGCGGATCGTAAGATGAGGTGCCTGAGGTTGGGGAAGGTGAGAAACAGCCGCTTGCGCTCCCAGATGATTTCGCCGACGATGATCAGGGTGTGGACATTGGGCCATGTTTGCTGCGGGTGCCATGGTGGATCATGTTTCTCAATGATGGCGCTGCCGCGGAGAACGAGGACTTCGAGGGTGACTTTGAGATCGTCGAGGATCGACAGCGCATGCGCATAATCGGCAAGGTCGAGAGAAAGGTGGCGAAGGCCTCGTAATCCCGCGACTGCAGCTGCGGTATGTCTTCGCACATCGCTTATCCACAGGGTCCGAATATTGGGGAGCTTCACGAGGAGGTTGCCGAAGGCGGGTCGGATGGCGAACACTGCTTCGCCTTGAAGTATGTTGAGCTTTCGTAGGTTTGACGCCAGCGTAAGGACCCGCGATAGCTCATCAAGGCCATGGACAAACTGCTTGAAGTCGTCATCGGTGTCCTTGCGCGAAGTAAGTTGGCCGAGGGTGAGCCGGACAACACGGGGGCACTTAGACTCGGGATGCTCGAGCATGAAGCGGCAGAATTGGATGACACTTTCCACTTTGTTCAGCGTAACGTCGGCCAGGAGGTGAGGAAGGCCGAGGGAGTGGGCGTATCGGCTGATACACATAACCCTTGCAAGGTCCGACTGTGGCATGAATGTCATGATCCGGTCGAGGATATTGTAGTTGAGACTGCACGGGACGATGCGGGGGCGCGGGGCCGGGGCTGGCTCCGGATGGTGTAGTGAACGCCACCACCAAGCCATGGTCGACCGAGTGAAAGGGAGATTGTCGAATGAGCCACTCTTCCCTGGGCGCAGGGCGAACCTTTATAACCATATCTGGTTCATTTGGCCTTGCCACCACAAACACTAGGACAAGGCGGCCCTGATTGCCTTGTTGGTACTTCCAGGCTTTGTTTCGAGTCCCGCATGCCACAGAGTGCACTCTGGCGTTGTGATAGACAATGAGCACCAGATGTCGACATAGAGCGGTCCATGCCATCCCGCAGGAGAGCCCGTTTGCGCGCCCACTGCCGTAACCCTAACCCCGACATCGGGCCACCACTCCTGCGCGCATGACGTAGCGCGTCCACCATGGCCTTGTCGTCAAACATGGTCCGGTCCACGTACTGGACCAGACCACCAGCACGCTGAGGCGCTGCATTTGATATCCTCTCGACTCGTTACCACCACCACTGCCTCGTACAACGCCATGAGCGAACCCGGCACTCAGTCTAACGGGCAATCGTATCGGCCGAGATTTTACACCGCGTACCGAACCCGTTAGTGTCCAACCGAGTACCGTCGGACGGTTTACATTGAATACCCTTCGATGTGATTAGCTCGAACCAACGAAGAAGCTCAAAATCTGTATAACCACATCCGAACCATAGCATACGCGCTAGACTCGCTCTCCGGAGCGATACCGGGGCTCGACCGACTACCATTCGACGTTGGTTTGGAAGCTGTCATCGGAGCGATTCTTCCTGTTGCAGGAGACTTTATTGGCGCTCTCGCTGGTCTGTACGTTATATACCTATGCTGGCTCTTCGGCGTAGGTAACTGGATACTCGGACAAATGGTGCGTCTGGCGCGAAGTACAGGATTCCGTGACGATTTGCTCATCGAGCGTCGCAGATCGTCAATGTGATCATTGACGCCGTAGTTGGCATCATCCCCTTCGTCGGCGATGTCTTGGACGTCGCGTGGAAATCAAACATGCGCAATCTTGGGCTCCTCGAGGACTTCCTCGTCAAATCCGCCAAGAGGGGCGGTTTCCAGGTGCAGGTCGCGCCTCCGTACCAGTGGAACAAGAATAACGCGACCTCCGGAGGGCCAGGGCGTAGTGCGTCCTCCGGTGCTGGCAATGGACTGGATTGGACCAGCATTTTGGGCTGGTTCGTTAACCAAGCGAGGTCAAACAGCGGGAGTGGTGGAAGATTCGGAGGGTGGTAGATGACGCTATACTGCATAAGTGTTCGACTAGTATACATGTGAGCTTTGTGAGAGTTCTGGCATCATTATACAATGAGTGGATTGTTGCGATAGGAATGTGTATATGCTAATGAGTGTTGAAGACGGAGAGTCCGAGGCGACGACATGGAGCAGAATGAATCTGTCAGGGATACGTAACGATCCTGGAGGACGCGGCATCGATCACGATGACTTCGGTCATCTCTGTCGCAGGCATCTTTTCAACCGGATTTTCATTCGGCTCCTCTTCCGACTTCCGGCGTCGCCAAAACATCCAAGCATGGAGAATGTCCTGGAGGAGAGCATCACAAAGATCGAACTTTGCGAACCGAAGTACGACATACCAGATGAGTCCCGAAAAGGAGCAGCGCAATCATCGGCACTAAATCGCATTGCCTATCAGTTGTCAGACGTACGTTGATGCGTTGCACGTACTGAGTGCGAGAAACGTGTCCGGCGTGCTATCCATTCCGTCAAACATCCCGATTCTGAGTCATGTGAGACCTCGCAACGAAGCCTTGTGCTTCAAGTCACTCACAGATATGTGACGATGGCATACAAGGTGAACAGCGCGGGGCGGATAAGCAGCCAACAGGCGAGAGGAACCGGCATTTCAGACTTCCAAGCAAACAGCCATGCACATGCGCTCCGTCGGAAGACATCAATCTGCACTACAACGGTGCCAAATGTAGCGAGAAAGACGAGTAGCGAGGAAACCTCGGCGCTAGGTACAAGAAGGTTAATGAAATGTTATCTAGTGCAATGGGTGCTCACGGCGTCGGCCTCCCTGCAGTATTGCTACAGTAAGAGTACTGCTTCCGGTAAACATCATTGTGGCGGGAGCGAGGATCTGATGCGACCTAATCTCGTGGAGGTAGTTCATTATCTGAGAACATGACGGTGTTATAACGAGATAACTCACCACAAATGATTGTAGGAGGACGATGAAGGCGAGGAAGTACGGCAAAGCGATCAGCTAATGAGGATTCTTGTTAGTGTGAGATCATGAGAAGAGCTTGATCACTTGCTGCTATGACACCTGAGCGTGAGGATGCGTCGTCGGACCTTCGGCGAACATTCCTGAGCCATAACTACAAAGCCATCCGTATCTGATTAGCTGCGTCGTCAAGGATGTGTGAGATGTGTACCTGCCTCGGAAACGAGAGATAAGGTCGTCCAAGAAGTCCTTGTATGAGGGTTAGAGACAGCGTCCCGTACTATGTAGTAACGCTCACAAGACGCGGCTAGCGTAAATGAACGACGCCTGAGTGAGACAAAGACTGAAATCTGAGTTGGAGTCGGCCTCTGGCTTGAGAACCCTACACGTAAACTACGTCAGTGGCATACGCATGCCATGCAATATGGGTCACTCACAGTAGAGAATACGAAAAGGCAAATATCACCCAGCTGGTACAGTAGCTGTACCACGTAGGATAGCGTCGAATTGCCTTGCAGAGAGCTGCCGTGAGAAGCACAAGGACAATTCCACCGGCTGCCGCCAACTGAAGCCCGACGAACAGCCTGAAATACGACGTGTCTTGAGATTCGGTGTGCTGCTCCTGTGCTGGTGAGTGTCCATGGTGGTCAGATATGATAGAAATAATTGGCACCGCTCTCACATATGAGGTATCGCAATAAGAAATGGATGATATGGAAGAAGCCGGATGTAGGATGATGACCATGATCACTATTGTGACCGCCGCCCTCATGATGACCCCCAGGGCCTGAACGTGTTAGCTCCTGTGAGACGGCGAGTAAGGCTGATGTACGCACTCATGGTTTCTCTGTCTCAGAGCGAGTCAAAATTGCAGGTCCAGACAGTACATTCGCCAGGATGGTGAGCTCGACTACCTCCAGCGCTGCTGAAGATACGGAGAAAGCCTTGGAATCCCGCAGCGATGCTGCACACCTATAAGTGAGCATCGACATCTGCGTAGGTAGCAACGACCGCTCAACGGTAGAGGGCACAGCAGAAATCAGCGCAGACGTTGCCCTATGGGAATCGATGCGGTTACATCGTGAGACTGGGCTATCCACCCATACATGGGGATCCATCATCAGAGGCAAGTGGACCATAAGCCAGGCAGTGCATGAGTGATGTAGGACGGCATGGTATTCAGACGAAATTCGCGACCTGAATGGTCTTTGGAGGATCAACGTTTCGACGTTCAACAAGGATGAAGACGAGGATCAACAAGGGTATTGATTACACTGGGTACAAATCTAGATTTCTCATGAGTCCAAATTCAAGAAACATCCTATAAAAATTTGAAATTTTTATCACATATTTGGAAGTGGCAAATCATGGGCAAAAATATTATTTTCTTGAATTTATTCATGGTTTTTTGCGTTTTTCTGCATTTTTTCAACATTTTATCAAAGATTTTGGTCAGAAACATGCTCTGATAAATTTCAAATGTTTACATAATATTATTTAGATTTTGCAATTGGACCCTGTGATGACCCACTCTGCGGGCCGCGTGCGAAAACGAAGCTTGATCAACATCCACCAGCGGTGTAAGGTAGGTATGTACCGAGCGCGGTCCCTAAACAGGAACAGCCCTGCACTGTTTTACGGCTTTTGTGGACCACGAGAGCTGACACACCGCTACGCACTGGGTGGAAAGTTTATTTCAATGCATGAGGTATGTTTTTCGGTCAATCCGTTCGTGAGCACCCGCGAATCCGACATCCGGCAGGGATACAGATGAGCATCGTACGAGTGATAGGCCAGGATGCCATCCGTGAGCGTGAAGTATACAATGTTGAGGCAATGCAGTTCTGACAATGAGCGTTATGTGCTTTATCCGATCTCTGCGAGCGAGAGGCGGAGGTGTCTCAGCCGTGCAAACGATCCAGAGAGTATCGCAGATATTGTTGCATGCTCAGTCCAATGTCCTCACAATCCTCCCTGACGTGGAGTGGTTTCCGGGTGCGTGCAGAGAACAGGGCGACGTTGACAGAATGCGCCAAGCTGGAATCCCCTTCGACACCACACCTGGGATCTGAGACACTGTAGCAGCGCACGAACGATCCTCGCCAATAGTGTCTGACTCTGAGCATGTCCGCAATTCAGAGCAAAACACGCATGCGCATGTTTGGGGGGCGGAGTCATCTCGTCTCCGATGTCATGAGTGATTGTGTGATGGAGCTGCATCGGTGGAGAACGCTTTTCAGAGCTGTGTATCTCGGACGTCCGAAATGCAGATCATCGACGAAGAGCTGATGCAGGCTCGTATTGCTGTGGGGACCACCAGAACGCAGAGCTGCTGCTGCGATCTGCTTCTTACTATCTGAGCCGGCAACATCAACCATTACCACTGATCCATTACCATTGGACTACTACGGACAAGGACCGGAAGCCTCTCAAATTGATGTCACGAAGTAGCCACGCGCAACGCGTTGAAATCATATAGGTACATGCGTATAACAGAGATGCTCTACATCGAAGTCCCGCCCAAGATTAGGAAGGTTACGCCACCAATCTTATATCCACATCAGACCCATGCTGGCTAGACCGTTTGTGCACCGTGCGATCCTCTTCACTGGGGGTCTTCGGTGCATCCCAAGGCTCGTGAGACTTCCAGAATACCCAAGCTTGGAACACATCCTATGCACAGCACGCTAGTCAGCATGAGCATATAAACCGGACCCGAGTCCACCGCACTTTATGCGTCCCGAAAATCGAGAACGATATGAGTGGCACTGAAAAGTAAGCATTAAGAAGCAAGCATTAAGAAACGAGCATAACGTCGAGTGTTTTTCTCCGTACTTAAAGCTAGAAATGTATCAGGGGTGTTTTCCATGCCATCGTACAAAATGTTGATCCTGTCATTCAATCAGCCACCATCATGTATACGCGTGCGTCAGAGGTGAAGAACACGCACGCAATAGTTACTAGCCCGTATATTGAAAATATTGCTGGGCGGATCAGCTGAACTAGCGATGGCGGAGTTTTGCCGCTGGTCCCTGGTGTCTTCCACTGTCGACGGATAATGAAGACAAGGTCAATCTGAACGAGAATTGTCGCGATGGCTGCAAAAAGAACCATAAAACTCGACACCTGTCCTCTAAAAATGGCGTGGGTTTGGTGTATGGGAATGGCAAGTAGGGACCCACGGGTCGGGTTTTCCGGCCGTATTCAGGCAATATGCTCTGTTCTGACGGTGGACAAGAAGGTGCTTTTCTGCGTTTGGAGTTGATCCCGTCTATGCATAGGAATTATTATTCGCCTTGACTTTCTAAATGGGAGTAAGTGTGACATACTACGGCAGATTGCAGAAGGACTGTAAAACCAAGGACATAGGGCGCGACGACCAGCTACGGCCCATGATAAGAACGTAGAGGCGCCGTGTATGGAGGGGACTCACTAGAACTACGTATGACGTGCGTTCACTGATTTTGGCCCCTGTTCCTGACTGCGAGCTCAACCAAAGCTGACACACTGTCAAATCGATCTGGATGTGAGCAACCATGTGTATCATACCCCGAAGACCAGAGAAAATGTTGTCCATGCTGTCCTGTGATGGTTTAATGAGCAGAACGTCTGATTGTGCGAGGCATTTACAGACAGCACACGACTGAAATAAATCAAAGATGCTTGCACGAGACACAGGGAATAATCTGTGGATGAGTGGGCCGTCGGTCTGAATATCCTGAGAGAAAACCGTTAGAGACATACTTTGGTCCTTTTTTACCCGGAAGGCACTTACAAAAGACCGTAGGAGAGTGCAAATATGATCCAACTCAAGCAGTAACTGTGCCAGGTCGGACAACGGTGGACTCTCTTCGAAAGCAGGGCCGTGATCAAGATCACCGCGTGCCCTCCTGCACCGAGGAGCAGCAGAACAACAAAGAAATTGAAGTAGTTCATCAACATCTCGTCGAGTAAGCGTCGATTTTCTTCTTCTGAGATACGGCAGGGGGCTTGAGCAAAGCGTTACTCATCGGAAGTCACACGGTGCTGACCTATGAGCCCCTTCCACAACTTATGAATAATCTTGTACACAAACAACCCGTGCTGCCAGCCACTGTGCTCTGTGGGAATTCGTTATTGCGAGAAAACTAGTCCAAGTATGTCCTGGACGGCGATGGACGTACCCATCCCGTTTCCCATCCCGTTTCCCATCCCGTTTCCCATCCCGTTTCAATTCGTTTGGAAGAAGATAACTAATGAAGCAAAACGTTTCGTGAATACAGTGGTGACCGAATGTAATGCTCCAGAGCTCCAGAGCTCCAGCGCTCAGCGCGACGAAGGATTGAACGCGAGTCGCGCGTAGGCATGCAAACGATATATAGGCTATCGAACTCGGTATCGGTGGCAACGACCAGATGCAAGTAGATTGCCACCATGTATAAATTTAACAGGCGGCCAACAAGAACCGCGGAATCCTCGGCCAACATGCCCGATGAACCGCTTTCTGGACGTAGATCAGGCGTTGGATGTCGAAAATCTAGAAGCGCCCGCGGAAGGGATCGTTGATGGAAAAGGGAAGCATTCATTGGCTGCCCGTCATGCTTGGGAAACCGCCCGGAGCATCAGATTGATATATCTCGGGCGCATCGAAAGCCCATTGACTTGAGACTTGGAAGCCCGACTAACCGCAGCTCAGAGCTGGCTTCATAGGATGTACTCGCGGTCTGAAATGGTCGAAGTCAATGAATGACAATTTTTCTCCTGAAGTACGACTATTTGTCGAGTAACGGAGTTGAGGGACGAGATGGGTTCCTCCGCCTTCCGCAACTCAAAGCCTGGAGCAGATCCTGACAACATACGGTGAGCATCTCGATCAGTATGTTCGCGATTGTCACATACGCCCTGGGTTCCAAAAACGAGCCATGCGCCAACGGGCACTGGGCGAATGATGTGAGTTACGATATCCAAGCTGCACGCTTCATTGTACACACTAATGGCAATGAGGGAGTTTGAAGCTGCCCCAAACTGCTGTAGCGCAAACATGACAGACGCCCTGCAACGCGAGACGATCAGCGACCACCGGACATTACACGGGGATAAAGGCGCTTACACAGCCCCGATCAGGTCGAAGATGGAGAAGATGGCGAATCGAATGAATAACGGCGTCGAGGCCTTCATTGCCGCCGACTGCTTTTGAAACCGGCGGCGCCATAGAGGAACGCCGATGAGAAGTTGAAAGACGAAGGTAAGGGTGGTTGCCACGCAGACAACAACGGCTGATACGGCGGTGCTATGGCACAGCGGACGTGTGAGTGCCATCATCGACGGGCGCTGGAACTTTGTGATACTGACGGAAACCGGTGGATGTTCGCACAATATAGACCTTGCATGAGAACGGTGGAACCAGGGTGTGCGATGGCATACTGCAAAGACGACTGATGAGACCACAGATGTGGGACGAACATTGACTTACTGCAAACGCTTCCACCAGGGTCGCTGTTGATAGAACGTAGGGTGCCACAAGCAGCTAGGAACGAGCGTATGAGCCATCAGACTACTGAGCAAACATGGATGCCCCGGGAACTTACCAGGGTCGTCGGCCCGTAGTAGGTACCGATGGCTGGCATTTCCATTAAACGAGTGGTGATCCATATCTAACGAACAAGGGTTCACGACGGCGAAATCGGAAGAGCATGAGCGACTTACTTCCAGTACGTATGCCATATTGGTGAGCGCACAACTGAGGTAACAGGGTCAGAGGAGTGCTACGTTATTAATGGGCGCGTCTTACAAAACTACCAGGGCATAAATTGTAGACGCCTGCACCACGCATAATGTTGGTGAAGGTGTCTTCGACCACCAGTTTTCGTCGTAAATTAGGCTGAATAGAGCCATATATGAGTTCGCAATGAGAGTATATTCACCACGTACTCACAATAAGGTATAAACTACAGCCGACACGATCCACCCAAAGCAGAAGTTGTACCAAGTCGACGGACGCCGCACTTGTCGAGCAAAGAGAGCTATGAACATGGTGGTGAACATGCCTAATCCTGCCACGAGCTGAGATGCGAGGAAAACTGTCTTGAACGTCATAGACAGTGGCGTCCCCCATACGGCCCCTATTGTCCTTCAGTATAGGGACATGTGCGATAGTTCGATAACTCAAACTGACCATCGACTGGCGCCGAACCGAACGTCATCACAAGCAAGGACATGAAGGTGAGCGCGGTCTACGCGTCACGGATAACTTTGTAATACGGAGCTCCTGGGCTGTGTCATATAATCAGAAGGCCAGCGCCGTGCAAGAGGTGAGCGTTGCGCACCTCAGCTGCGTCGCGCTCGCAACGGAAACGGCGCAGAAAGCGAACACCGTGCCCCGAGGGGAAAAGACTATCTATGCGGGTCTATCTTCAGAGCACTGCGATGCTCCATGGACGGGTCAGGAGACGGGTCATCAACAGGGTACTGTGTTGAAGAAGGTGTCGTGGTAAGCCCGCAGAGCCTCATCAAGACGGCGGCCCAGTTGCGGGGGTAACATATAGGATCGCGGCCAACTTGAAGACCCACATCACTACATCCGAACGCAGGTAGTGTTCGACAGTTGTGGAGCAGTGAATTTCCGTCCCGACCTGGGTGTTGTAGCACCGCCGAGGTGATGGATCAAGAGGAAGTTGGATCACGGAAGACGCAGCATAATGCGGAACACGATAGATTTTCGACCTTGAGTCGATGTATATGATTTGAGGGAATAATGTAGTGTAATATATCGCGACATTACGATCCCGATTCTGCAGCGCCGCCGCCAGCCATGGTGGTTGTGGTCGATGTAAGAGCTGGAAGCTGATTCGTCCTTGCTCGGTTACTCGGTCGTGTCAACATCGCGTCTTATTCTACCGTCTACGGGGGCCTCCTTCGTCATCGTGGCTTCGATAAGCTCAATCTCATAGTTGCTGGCCGCATTGAAACCGCGCTCGAGACACGACGGAGGCCATACCACTTGCCCCCCTCGGTTCCAGCCTCAGGTCAAACCGTCCTTCCGCTTTCATCATGAAGTTCAGCTCGTCCCTCAAGTTCAACGCCGTGCCGGAATGGTGGGACGACTACATTGCGTGAGTTCTCGGACGTGACGAAGGGACTGCGTATTCAGTGCATATACGCGTAGATACGATGCCTTAAAGAAACACGTCTACGAGCTTGAAAAGCGCCAAGTTGGACTTCAACCGTACCGCGACGTGGATTTGGAAGCGGGAGAACAGGCGCCGCTGGTGGCCAACGGCAGCTCTTCCACCGATGACGAGTTCAAGCCTCTGCTCGACCGGGAAATCACGAAGATAAGCGCGTTCTACGAGAGGAAGGAGAGGGAACTGCTGGCGGAGGCTGCTGAGTTGGAGGAGCTGGTGGAAAAGGAGGATGAGTTGGGACCCTTGAACCAGAACCGATACACGGACGACCTCGACGACGACGACGACGACGAAGACGACGACGAGACGGATAGTCGTGCCGGCACCCGTTCACCGGAAGCGCGCAGGCGGCGGCTGTCGCTCTCCCAATCTGGACATCTGGACGACAGCCTGGCGTCCCTCCCGCCGATGTCAGCCGCGCAGGAGCGCGCATCCCACCGAGCAGCTTCGGCCTCGTTCTCGCCCACGCGCTCGCCTGCGCCTCGCCGGAAACGTCCGGATCGTTCCTGGGCAAGCCGGCTGAAGGACAGCATCGTCTCTATTGGGTAGGTGTACATCTATCACCCTCGAGGGCTCTGATTAATCCGAAGATATGCAGGTCTGCCGAACACGGGCCAGATTCTGTCGGAGACACGACATGGACCTCAAGCAGCAACTACGCATGGGACACGCGATTACTGTTCAGGCGTAGAATCACCAACCTCTATGTCAGCGTTTCAAGCCTCAAAAGCTATGTCGAGATCAACTACAGCGGATTCAGGAAGATACTGAAGAAGTATGTTGTTTTCATGTCGACGGATGATGTTAGCTCATGGCAGTCACAGATACGACAAAGTTACCGACAGTCAGGCATGTACCGCGCGGAGCCATCATGAATGATCCCTGACCTATCCTTCGCCAGCTCAAAGACAGGTATCTCCACGATGTCGTTGACGAATCTCGCCCCTTCACGCAATCCTCCAGGGACACCCTCGATCACACCCTCGCAGACTTGCAAAACCTGTATGCGAAGTGCGTCTGTCGTGGCGACGCGGAAGCCGCGCGTAGGGAGTTACGCCTCCACCAACGCGAGCACATCGCATGGGAGCGAGATACTGTTTGGCGCACTATGATCAACCAAGCGCGTCGTGGTGGTGATGACGGAGTTGGACACCCAACGATAGTTGCAGATGAGAAGCCGTCTGCGGTGGTCAGCGTCGGAAAATTACAAGTGTCGAAGAAGATGATCGCGGCCGCGATCTCGGTGCTGGTTGGTCTCGTTCTTCTCAACGTCCAGGTCGTAGAGGGGGTGGCGGCCAATCGGTGCTTGGCAATTCTGGTGTTCAGCACCATTATGTGGGCTACAGAGGTCATTTCAGAAAGCGTTGCATGTGCCCGCTGCAAAACTGATAGAATTATAGGCCATTCCATTATTCGTGACGTCGATGCTTGTGCCTCTCCTCCTGATCACCTTGCGAGTGATTCGAGATCCTGAAGACGAGTCCCGTCTATCCCCACCGGCGGCTACTAAGTAAGTTTCCGACCACGGCGTGATGTCCTGAAATTCTACTGATTGTTTCTTTACGTCCTCAGATATGTATTCTCAGTCATGTTTTCGCCCACTATTATGCTCCTTATCGGTGGATTCACAATCGCGTCTGCGCTCAGCAAAACCTCAATAGACAGGCTCCTGATCACGAGAGTACTAAGTCTCGCTGGTAGCCGGCCAAGCACGGTTCTGCTTGCGTTCATGGGCGTCTCTTGCTTCGCTAGCATGTGGATCAGGTACATCACCTGAAGTATTGCATCCGCTGGCACTGATCTGCGAGCAGTAACGTAGCTGCTCCGACGCTCTGCTTTACTCTCATCAAGGTAAACGCTTTGATGTTTGTGACCATGCCCGATGCTGACGATTCTACCGTCCCGCAGCCGATCCTTCGCACCCTACCCGGCAAGACCGCTTTTGCTCCTTGCTTGATCGTGAGAGCGGTGTTTGATCGTGGCGACCCACGGTTATTGACTGCACGCGACAGATGGGAATCGCGCTCGCCGCCAACATCGGTGGCCAGAGTTCCCCAATATCGTCGCCGCAAAACCTGATTGCCATCGGAGAGATGGATCCTCAATTGGACTGGGGCAAGTGGTTTACCGTGGCCATACCGGTTTCCGTTGTTTCAATTCTCCTAATCTGGCTGCTCCTCCTCGCGTCGTACCGCCCGGCACGGCACCCCGATGGCGAGAGCGAGCTGGAAATCAAACCCGTCCGCGCCGCGCGGGAGTCTTTCACTCTCCAGCAGTGGTGGGTTACCTTCGTGTGCCTGGCGACCATCGGGTTGTGGTGTGTGGAGCACTCGATCGAGTCCTGGGTGGGCGATATGGGTGTCATTGCATTATTGCCCGTGGTGGCATTCTTCGGGACTGGGGTGTTAAAGAAGGTGCGGAATGCATATGCGCGACCTTCATTCTAGTGACTAAGCGTCTTCCAGGATGACTTCGAGCAATTCGCCTGGACTATCGTCTTCCTCGCCATGGGCGGTATTGCCCTCGGCAAAGGCGTGACATCAAGCGGTCTGCTGGAGGTATTGGATGAACTCATCAGAGATTTGGTGGAAGGGCTGTCGCTCTATACTGTCGTCCTAGTCCTCTCTCCTGTCGTGCTTGTTAGTCTCCTGCGCTTCGCCCATATTTCACTGCTAATCACCATTCCTTCAGGTAATCTCAACGTTCATTAGTCACACCATTGCCAGCGTCCTGCTCGTGCCTATCGCGAAGGAAGTGGGGAACAATCTCCCAGGCAATCACGCCAACTTGCTTATTTTCATTACGGGCCTCATATGCTCGACCGGTATGGGCATGCCTGTTTCAGGTTTCCCGAACCAGACAGCGTTAGCGTTTCCCGCCGTTCCCTATCAACATCAATATCTATCCTGACACCGATGGGTATACAGGGCCAACCAGGAGGATGAACTGGGACAACTATACCTCTCGAACATGGACTTCCTTAAGAATGGTGTACCTGCATCCATCATCGCTACACTGGTACGTGGAGCATTGCTTGCACTCGAATTACGACATTGACGCAACTCAGGTGGTCTCGACGATTGGATATTTGCTGATGAGGCTTATAGGGTAAGCCGGCGTCTCACATTCCGAGCGCGCCGCTAATTCGCCACCATATAGATTATAAGGTTTTTGAATACACATGAGTTGCTAGGGTCGTCGTTACCTGCCTTGGAATGGATAAATTGCGCCTCTCTACTGTGGCTCGGCGCGATCGTCCCCTTAGAGTCGGTGCAGTGCTTGCGATCGTCGCAGTCCGAATTTTACTCTGTTGCTTTGGAGTCGATTTAGACTGCAATGGCGTGGTAAGCAGCCATAGATAACTCGAGTGCACTTCGGATAGCCTCATGACTGCCTTGACCCGTCCCAATGGCGAGGGAAGCCACCCACGCCGGAGTCGCGTTCCGGATCGCATTGTTCACGAGACTCGTGCAGGAGCGCAGGGATGCCGCAGTCACCCGCAAAGATCCTCCCGACCACTTGACCCACCACCACTAAGATGGCCGCTGACATCCCGATCTTTACGTTGAACGACGGCACGAAGATGCCCTCGGTTGGCCTGGGGTCCGTTCCTGCTCCTTCCTGCCGATGCATCCGTTGAATATGATCTTATCAGCTGTTGGATGGGTGCGCCGGGTGCTCGCAATGATAGTGTGGAGATTATGTGCAATGTGCAAGACAGCCATCGACGTCAGTCAGGTGAGGCTTCCTGGTTTTCTGTAACGTCCTGACCTGCGATCCTAGTGCGGCTACCGTCATTTTGACAGGGTAGGTATTTGTTGAGTGCTTTTTCTCTCAGCTGAGTTAAGGGTCACGAAGGCCGCCGCATATGGTAACGCAAGTTTCGGCTCTTTGGGCGTTCTATGTTAAGATTACGCTCTAGGGAATGAAGAACGTGTAGGGAAAGCAATCCGCGAGTCCGGGATTCCTAGAGGCGAATTCTACATCACCACCAAACTGCCGTACGTCATTCACCAAGGACATGCCTCCCCTCTCCTCCTGATGAGTCTGTGATTGCAGCAATGAAACGCACCATCAAGTGCACGAAAGCTTCGAAGCCTCACTGGTGGAACTGGACTGCGATTACATTGACTTGTATCTTATGCACTGGCCTCAGGCCTCGACAGAGCGAGGCGTGTATCCTACAGCACTCGATGAACGCCCAATGTTCTCCTAGGAGTCCTTGGGCCGGATGAATCACCTACTATCGTCGACACTTGGAAAGAAATGGAGAAACTCGTGCAAATCGGTACGTGTTCGAGGCAACGAGGCCGGTTGTTTTGTAGAGCAACCTGTCCACGCGAATTCTCCAGGGAAGGTCAAAACCCTCGGTATAAGCAACTTTTCGGTCAAGCTTATCGTGCAGCTCCTTCCTCATTGCACGATCGTGCCTGCCGTAAACCAGATAGAAATGCATCCTTGCCTTCCTCAAGAGGAACTGAAGGCGTACTGTGACACGAAAGGTATCTTGCTTCAAGCCTACTCGCCGTTAGGTGCTTTTTCTTGAGCCTCGGTGTGCGCTCATGACTCACAACCACGTGATATCATCAGGCCAATCCAAGACTTTCTTCTTTAACCAGCCTACTGTATCGAGGATAGCGCAGAAGCTCGGCACATCACCTGCACAGGTTATATTGAGTTGGGGCGTTCAACGTGGTACAGTCGTACTCCCGAAGAGCGAAAGTGAAGCCCACATCAGGGCCAATATCACAGTAAGCAGACTCCTCAATGATACGCGCCCGTTGCTGATCACCAAACCCGCAGCTTATCAAGCATGCTATATCCAACCTACATAAGGAGCAGGGCATGCACAGCTGGACTACCATGCGCCAGATGGGTCTGTCATTGGGTGGACGTACGAACAGCTTGGATGGAAGATGACAACGGGGGCCATTGCCGTCTGATATCCAGGCCCCCAATGTTCTGTGGAGTTTGTGCTCCATAACAGCGCGATGACCCTCCGCAGAATGCCATCTGCGACTACTACGATAAGTAGGGTACGCTATCTCTGTGACGAAGCGTAATGTATTCTCACGCGTGTGATCCCATCGTCGGTTTTGCGATGCATTGTGGCTCGCTATGTCGTGATGAACGCATGACGTCCGGGCCGCCTGTTCCGGTTAGTGAGATCGTCGCATGAAAGTCCAATCGCGTTCCTTGTCTCCTCCCGTCGTGGCTTGAGAACGCAGATATGGCTGCTGACATTCCTCATTTCACCTTGAACGATGGAACGCGAATCCCGTCTGTTGGCATGGGGTGCGCGCTTTCCTAGCGTTCTGCAGTGAGAGACTGACGGATGGATCACTCCCAGATGTTGGATGGGCATCCCAGGTGGGGGCGAGAGTGCCGAAATCATGTGCAAGAAAGCGATCAAAGTGAGGCAGCATCACATCTGTACGTTTCGGTTTTGGTGCTGACATGCCGATCTCGTAGTACGGCTATCGCCATTTCGATACAGTAAGCAAATATACTGTCTCTGTAACATTTAGAGAATCATTCTCATATTAACAACGCACAGGCGTTTGGATATTGTAAGCGATCCTCGTTCTTCGCGATAAACGTATCTGATACTATACTGACTGACGGGAAGTCAACGAAGAGCACGTTGGAAAAGCAATCCGAGAGTCCGGCATTCCGAGATCCGAATTTTACATCACTACGAAGTTAACGCGAGTCGTATCTTTCTTCTTGACTGTGAATGGTGCTGACTCACGAACGACAGAAACTCGGACCATCATCGAGTTAGAGAAGGTTTCGAGACATCGTTGAAGAATCTCGACTGTGACTACATAGACCTGTATTTGATGCATTGGCCTCAAGCCACGACGGAAAAGGGTAAGCGGCGTCACACCAACTTGTCTACAGGTGCTCAAAGCATCAGGACCGATTCGACCTGATGAGTCGCCTACCATCATCGATACATGGAGAAACATGGAAAAGTTACTGGAAACTGGTCAGTTCTTCTGCTTGATATTCGTGCAGAGGAAGCCAAAAATCCCATAGGCAAGGTGAAAACCATCGGAGTGTCGAACTTTTCCATTAAGACGCTGGAGCAACTTCGCCTACACTGGTCAGTCGTGCCAGCTGTGAATCAGGTCGAAATGCACCCATGCCTCCCTTGCGAAGACTTGAAGGCATATTGCGATGAAAAGGGCATCCTACTCGTAGCTTATTCTCCTCTTGGTGCGACAGAGCCAGATCCGATTCTTCTCCAAATGACGCGAACTTATCCCAGGACGCCCGCTTCCAGGCCAGTCCCAGACAGTCTTTGCCACTGAGCCTACCATCACACGCATTGCCGAAAAGCTGGAAGTAACCTGGGCGCAAGTAGTGCTCAGTTGGGGCGTTCAACGCGGAACCTCGGTCATTCCAAAGAGCGAAAACGACGATCGCATGAAAGCTAACCTCCGCGTATGTGAAGACGCACTTGTAATGAGGCAAGGAGGCACTGAATCCCCCTTTTGGCCAGCTTATCAAGCTATCGGTAGACGATATGAGTGCACTGAATAATATACACAAGTCTCCGGGCATGCACAAGTCTCTGCTGGCCTATCATCGTCCTGATGGTACCGTCTTGGGCTGGACGTACGAGGAACTTGGGTGGAACCTGAAGCCAGGAGGAATAGTCGGTTGAGGAACCGGTGCATGTTTTGGCTGGTCAGGTTTCAGTATTTGCTGTTTTTCTACATACGTGTATAGTCGAGACAGCATCGCGGCCATGGACGGCGCACAAACTTCCGTGCGATGAAAAAGGAAGGCTGTATGTCCACGTGGCTGTGGTCACTATCACTATCAGCGCGGACACGGCGTCCCTCGACGCGCGATCTTGCGTTTATCTTCACCCGCCATGACCAATATGGTTCTACCCGAGATGCGGACGGTGTCTCTTGAGGACTTGGCAGGCTCTACTATTCCGGAGTTGAAGATCAAGGATGATCTCGACGTTGAAGCTTGGAAAGGAACCAGAGGCTACGCCGACTATTCGCTCTTCCTGAGGAGGCTTTGCGAGAGTGTTGTAGGCTACAACCTACCATACGATTCGAATACGACCTCTGTGAGCTACTGCAGCCTCTGAGAAGACCAAGCTGACTCGCGTAGCCAATCAACCGCCTGTTGACTGTGCTTGCTGAGCTATCCTCCTGGGTGGATGATATCCCGCCTCTTCCTACCCCGCAACGATTTGGGAATCTGGCATTCAGGGCCTGGGGTCAACGTTTGGACACGGTTCGTGGTCGTGCTTTGTTGTTCTGTACATAAAGTGACGGATGTTCCAGTAGGAGACCGACAGATTGCTGTCGACCTTACTCGAACATTCGCCTCACCATGCTACGGCCGTAGCTCATGTAAAACCTTACTTACTCATTTCTTTTGGATCATTTACGCGCATGGACTACGGGACTGGACACGAGACAGGTTTCGCCTTGTTCCTATGTGCTTTAGCTTTGCTCGGATTCTTCAGAGATGGGGTAACTTCGATCCAGGAACAGGTTGCCCCACCTCTCCTCCCGCCACTGACTGCCATCTGATGAACGTCATCTTCATACACACAGGAGCGTCAACTCGTGCTTATCGTTTTCCCTGCTTACCTTCGACTAGTTTGGCGGCTGCAGGACGTTTACCGACTTGAGCCAGCTGGGAGTCATGGCGTGTGGGGCCTGGATGATTACAGCTTTCTCGGCTATATCTTCGGCTCGGCCCAACTTCTAGGTTTGTTGTGCTCGGCCTTGCGTGGCCGATGTAATCTCATGACGTGCAGATCAGGAGGATATCCCACCGAGCGCAATCCTTCAACCATTGCTTCCTGATAACAATCTGTATTTTATGCAAATCTCTCGGATACGGGCTTTCAAGTCAGGGCCGTTCTATGAGCACAGCAGTCAAGTAAGATCCTTGCGTACGTCCGGAGTCAAATCCATAACCTGACCACGTAGAAATAGCTGTACTCCATAGCGACCTCTGTACCTAACTGGACCAAGGTTCACAACGGTTTGATCAAGATGTATGAGGTACGCTGTTAGACTCGAATGCCATCAATACGGACTCAACGCCGTTTCTGCTCCGCTTTATAGGCAGAAGTTCTCGGAAAGCGCGTGGTCGTGCAGCATATTCCGCTTGGCGGCATCCTGGAATGGGACGTGACCCATGCTTCCTCGGGCTCAGTTACAAACGTCCCTATGGTACATCAGCGCGATGGATCAATATCGGGAACGGTGTCGACAACCGCACCGCTTACATCGGCGTCCCTTGCCGCTCCATCCCCACCTCCGTCAGGTACTCAGGCACCTTGGGATAGGACTGGCTCACCATCTGCTGGATATTCTGCAGGTGTAACAGTACCTTGGGCAAGCACCGCCATCCCTCACACACTTTCTCGGCCCGCTTCGACGATCCGAGGCGAAACTGGCCGTAGTCATGGCGTCGGGTCGCGTGCATCCGCGAAGACACGGATCCACAATCTAGGCGCACTGTCGTCTATGCCCCCGCCCGCTCAGTAGCTTGTTCTTCCCAAATCAACCCGCATTTGACCGTATTTATCTGCATACGGCACTTGCTGCGGGTAGGACTTCGGAAGCGAATAGGCTGCGTTGAGTGAGATACTTTTTTCGTGTTCACTCTTTATATGGTACCTACTGCGAAATCGTGCATTGGACAAGCCGACGAAAGTTCTACGCGGGTTCTGTGGACGATGTATTTTCTTCAACAAGCAACGCAAGTGATTCGTGATTTGAGGATTCCATCCTACCGGATGTTGCCTTTGGAGGGCCTCTGCCATTCGGGCTTTGCTTCGCCTGCGTCCGACATCATCGGTTGCGAACCAAGGACGGGCGGTGCACCAATGGCTCCGGTCAGGTCCCGCTTATTCGGTCCGTACGTCGCCGTATTTTATCTTGGATTTTGTACACATGTTCGCCTCCGGACGGGGACTGCACAATCGGGACGAAACTCACTCCGATCGGGCTCATTCTCTTCATCGGTTCAGATCGCTTGGAGCACCTCGACCGAGGAATGCATCTCCGAGAAGTACAGTTGTGAAGAGAGCGCTCTCATCTGAAGTAGCTGACACGCATTGTTCGGCTCGCGTGGAGTATGGCTACTGCATCTTCACGGTTTGGTGTCCGTTGAATCTCCGCTGCGCGAGTTATCTCCAGGGGCACTCGAATCTCATCTTCCTGCGCAGTTGTGCTGATAGAGATTTGCATTACTGCATGATACAAATGGACTCGTCCTGGCGTGATGCTCCCGGGCGGTCGAGAGTCTGTTTGCATGCGAGTCTGGTCACTGAGAAATTAGTTGCTATGCTGCGTTTTTCATTTCACCCATCATATCGGAAGTAGCACCGTCCAGTTACGGACGGGAGTCCGAAGCCCCCTTCTGATCATCCCCGTCGGCAATGCCAAGCTTCTACGTGCCCTCGAGGCTCACGCTCGCCAGGCACGCTCGAGTCTTAAAGAAGTGCATCCCCGCACCCACCGCGCCGTCCGACGACGGCGATGATGGAACCCTAAAGTTTAAACAGCTAGAAAGATGCCTCCAAACTTGGACAACCTTTGTGTGGGGATGTAGCACACGTTTTGATGCGTTTGACCAAGGAGCGTGGTCATGTTTCCCTCATTCCACCTGGGGCTGCCATGCGGTCCGCTACGTATACTTGGAAGCGGTGACTATTGTGTCGTGTTTGTTCCCCGTCTCGCGGGTCTTCCACTCGTTGGCGTTGGACAGGCTCGACAGAATAGCCGCCATTCGCACATATTAATATTGCAATACCTTTTCCTTCACTGCGCGCTCACATATGGATATAAGATTCGAGGGTCCGAACCAGTCTCTCTATCACACAGCTAAAATGCGCAAACTCTGGATCAAGTAGATAGGCCGGCGTTTGTTGATTCGTTGCTACACACTTATCTGAACGGTTTTACACACGCAACAGGAGTGTGAACCCGGATCACTGCTATGGAGACCGGTCCTCCGAAAGCGGACTTGAGCAGGATATCCGTCGATGATCCTGAGACAGCGTGGCTCAGAGACTAGTCTGCATAGATACGCGCCCGAATGTCGCTGTATGCGTATCAGATAATCTGTTTGGGAATCGAGCCAGTTTCGCCATGCTACTTATCTCTGCGCAGGCGTGATGTCGAAGAGCCGGTTTTGGTGCATCGCTTTCTTCTCTCCGGTGGTTCTTGGGTGGTTCCCATACCCAGACTTCCGTCCTCACGGGAAAGGGGGCCGGCTGTATTACGTCTTACGGTTTCGCATTTGCAATGCATCTTTTGCAGTTTGCGCACTAACCACAATCCGTATTTGCTAGCGCACGCCATACTGAGCACGCATGAACATGAGAACCATCCCTGCTGCTATACCTCGGCGCACGGGTGTATATGACACGTTGAAGCCGGCGTTACGTGGCCATCGCATGGTGCGCACGTTGCAGGACGTCAATGGACCATAAAAGCTTGAAGATACCGAAGGCGAGCGCGCGAGCTTCCGTGCGCTACTGTACTGCCGCGATGCCGATGTCCAAGTACGCGATGTGGTCCGGAAAGTATTTACAGGCTCCCGGAACGAGGATCGACACGGGTAGAGGACGTTGAGCAGCCGCGAATCTTGCGCGAACATGAGGCTGGCCATATCAAATCGAAACACGGGATCCTTGTCGATGTCGGACAAGGCGGTTAAATATGAACGCAGTTGAGTTGGTGGACGTAGAATAAGTCAGGGTGAGCAAGTGGCCCTGAGGTGGCTGAGTGGCTGAAGCGCTGAAACTGAAGTGGCGGGATCGCAACGCGTCAAAACGGACCTCCGAAAGTCACAACGGTACGGTGAGTCGATAACTTTGCTATGCCTCCCGGCGATTTGCACTGAAGTAATGTATTGCGATACATAGAACAGCAGGGTCCGGTGGACTCGTTTCGATGTGAGTCATTTATGTCGTACGCTGACTTCCATAAGACAGCATCCTCGGAGATTGGTTCGGCGAGCTATGTGCACAGCAGTGCGACCATTGGGGGTCCGCTATACCGCTTCTAGAAATTTTGATCATCGATGATGACCCCGTCCGCCCCTTGCCCTCAACCTCAACCTCAACCTTGCTAGCAAACCAAACCTTGTCTCTGCGCGTCGTACAGTAACGGAGCTGCACGACAACAGAGCACGCTGTGCCCACCATTTCTGACCAGGAAAGAAACGACGATCTTCGTCTATTGACCCTTGAGTGCGTATTGCCGGGCCTCTTCGACATGTGGCCCTAAGCTGAGGCTTTTCTTCGCTTTGTGATAGGTGGTCATCCGTCCGAGGTGAGCCCATTGTGCCATAGTGCATTGTACCTCAGTATATATACTGACACCTTCGCACCCCTTCTCCAGGTGAACCTCCCTGACAGGCCGACACTCGACAGTATATCGCAACTTCATTTATAAGCTATCTATATCCGGCTCGCCCGCCTCCTAGATCAACCACACCCAACCACTATAGCACCTCGCCTCGCCGTCCAGCGAGGCTTACCCATCGACTGAGCGCCCTCTGACTTACTGGTCCACCGCCCGGCTCGTCTACGACCGCGGCGGTTCGGATTCGGTAAAACCGGGGACATCCACACACACAAACAACGACCATTCACATCAACTCCTCGACTACGCGGCCTCGTCGATCCAAATCGATGGCCATTGACATTCTGCCTGCTGCTTGCACTGTCGACATATCTGTTTCCTGCTCTCCATCTCTCTCCTCCAATGGATTCCCTCGTTCCTTCAAGGATAAACTCTCATGGCCGAACGATGCCGTCGTACATGGTTTGCGGGGTGTCGTGAACCTCCCTCAGTCGCATTTCGATCAAGGTATCTCAGAGACTTCTGAAGACGAAGACGAACTCTTTCCCGAATTACCCCCTCTCCTGTCTGGCCACCCGGACGTACACCTCCGAAAAGGCATCATGGAGGCCTCCCGCCTTGCCGCTGACGGAGTGCCCGATGCCGAAAAGGCTTTCTTTGTGGCAGACCTCAGCGCTGTCTATCGTCAACACCAGCGATGGAAGCACTGTCTTCCCGATATTGAGCCGTTCTATGGTACGTCCTATATTCTGTACTCCTTGATCGTGGACCCTGATTCTATATTGGTAACACAGCTGTCAAGTGCAACCCTGATCCTTACGTCCTTCGCCTCCTCGCCGGCCTTGGTACGGGCTTCGATTGCGCTTCAAACGGCGAAATCTCGCAGGTTCTGGGGATTGGCGCCGTGGACCCTTCTCGCATCATCTTCGCCAATCCTTGCAAAGCGACTTCGTTCATACGTGGCGCTCAGAAAGCGGGGGTCGAGATGATGACATTCGACAACGCCGACGAGCTTTACAAGATCAAACGCGTCTACCCTGGCGCTAAACTCGTCCTCCGCATCCTCACCGACGACTCCAAGAGCTTGTGCAGGCTCGGCCTCAAGTTTGGCGCGCCACTCGTGGCGGTGCGAGGCCTTTTGGAGAAGGCGAAGGAGCTCGACTTGGACGTGGTGGGCGTCAGCTTCCATGTCGGCAGTGGCTGCTTCGACTCCAACGCATTCGCGGATGCTGTCATGCGCGCAAGGACCGCCTTCGACGTCGGCAAAGAAGTCGGATACGCGTTCAAGCTCCTCGACGTCGGGGGTGGCTTTGAGGACAACAACTTTGAGCGCACGGCTGGCGTGCTGCGCCGCGCTATCAACGAGTACTTCATCGACCGCCGCGAGCTCGGCATCAGGATCATCGCAGAGCCAGGCCGCTTCTACGTCTCGAAGGCGTTCAACCTGGCAGCGAACGTCATCGCTCGTCGTGCACCCCTCGATGACGGAACCGAACAAGATATGGACGGCATGGAAGAAGATCAGCCACGTGTGATGTGTATGTTTCCGTCCGGCCGTACTCTGCATTGACACCGAGCTCACTTGGTACCATCAGATTACATCAACGACGGCGTTTACGGAGCGTTCAACTGCATCCTCTTCGATCACCAAGTCGTCCACCCTTACGTCTTGTCCTTGGACGGCTCCTTTCATGTGCCGGCCGGCAGCCGCACGCTGAAGAGCAGTGTCTGGGGGCCGACGTGCGACAGTATCGACTGCGTGTGCGCGAACGCCGAACTACCTGCTACGCTCGCCGTCGGCGATTGGCTTGGGTTCGACAACATGGGCGCCTACACGATCTGCGCGGCCAGTCGGTTCAATGGGTTCGACGTGAGTAAAGTGGTGTACACGGTAGGAGGGGGCTCCGATGGCAGGGAGGTGAAGGCCGTGCTTGGCTCGTTCGCGCGCGCGACTCGCGGGTATTGATAGATCTATTGCGCCTCAAAGAAGGGGAAAGGGTCCGACATGCATGGACATGTATAGGCATATTGCTGATGATAGAACCGGCGTTTACGGCAGCGACTGTGTGTATTCCGTTTCCGAGTTGAGGTCCTCGACTACGAAGCGAATGGCAGCTCAATGGCTGACCTCCGAGGGTGCTGCGGCCCGGGCTCTGCCTCCCGTCATCGTTAGTCTCTCGGTACCGACCGAAGGTGGGCATGGTCCTAAAACGGAGATGATAGGCACAGCACTTCTCGCGCCCGTATCCGGCCATGATCGTACTTTCCGCCTCTTCGGAGGGATAGCGAACGACAATCATCTGCGTTGCCGTCGTCCTTGCTTAGCCGTTCATGAAGGATACCACTGCCAGCGATCCCAACAGACACCGAGCCCACCCCGTCGACGAACCACCGAGCATCATCCACGCAACAACGGCAAATCAAATCTGAAGCTCTTGGCTCGCGTCTATACGAACTTTCGATTGTTTATCTCATCGCCATCCATGCGCCAGCAGGGAGGAGCTAACTGATCTCGGCAGCTTGTCCTCGGTCACCGGGATGCAACGTGGGAGACGGACCCCCGGCGGCCCAGGGCCCGTTTTCATTTGTTTTTTTTCTCGCCACCATCGAGATAGCCTCGTTCGCCGGCGAAAGAAGCGTATGTGACCCCGAGGCTTGCGAAGCCGCTCCCCAGGGCGCCGAAGGGCGCTCGTGGTGGATATTGTCGGTCTCGCCTGCTCGGTCGAGCCAATGGCGGCGCGGGGATATTCCCATGGCCTTGCGGTGCTTGCGCTGTCTGTGCGAGGTCGAGTACTCAATCCGTTGAACGCTCATCAAAGCAGGCCTCCCTCAGCGCCAGCGCAGCGGCTCGGCATCTTGACCTTTTCCAAAACGCCCGGTTCGACGGAGGTTCAGGCGACGTACTCACGGGTAGAGATGCCGGAGGACCCGAGACGGAGGAACGCCATCAGTCCTGCACCGTTCTACGCAGAAGAACGGCGTCGATATGAAACCTGGGGTAAGCGGCTCGGCTCCGGACGGTCGACATGGTGAACGAGGACCACGAAGCCCCTGGCGAGCGTCCCGTGAACCTAGCGCGCTTCGGGATGATGCGAAATCCAACAGAAGATTCCCCCGTAGCGGGCCGAAGGCACCCGGCAAGCAGGGCAATTCTCTCTGCGCGTGCTCCACCGACACAAATGATCAGCCATGAAACTATCGGCAACGTGGAACGTCCTTACATGTATTAGGCTCAATCCTCGGCGTGGTGCGAATTTGGTGCCCCGACCCCACCAGGAAGGTTCAAGCCCCCCCGTGCCCGGCTTTTGAGCGTCGACATCACCCCATTAAAGCAACTCACGACACTCCCATCCCTCCTCTTGTCGCAGGTGGCGTTCAACGATCTGGATCAGATTTATACTTCCGCATCTCCTGCCCCCTCGGTCAGCTTCGCGTATTTATGATACGGCATGCGTCTGACCTCAGCGGTTTCCGTTTTCAGGCACTGCCCCGCACCATGACATCTCCACCTCACTCCGCTGGATCCAACTCGCGCTTTCGACCGTTTGCGAGCAGCAAACATCAAGTGACGAAGGGAAGATACATCACTAGCAATGATCCACGAGGATATATGTGAGTATCGCTCGTTGTCTCCCGGCTGAACCGGGTTTGAAGGAGGTTTTAGACCGGTTTACGAATATCAGCTCTGCGGCCAATGGATCATGATGGACATCGATGACGGTCGGTGTGCTTGCTTATTGCCCCAATGCGACCGCTGATCGTCGAGCTTCAGGCTACGTCCTATGGACGGGTATATGGAAAGGTACGCTGCCGGGAACGCACCCATAACGCATTCACTGAGACCTTGCCCCCCTGAAGCCCTGGGCAACTCGAAAGGTCGGCCATCCCTAGAATTGGCGATGTATACCGCGCGCTGATTCTGATGCCCTCACTACCAGCCGATATTGTCAAGATGGTTGAGTCACAACCAGAGCTAGAGCCGCATATCCGCCGCGTGCGCGGAGGTTATCTGAAGATTCAGGGAACCTGGCTACCCTACGAGGTTAGTCGCTAACATCACTTCTGCTCTTGTTCCCTATCTGAGCACAATACATAGGTCGCCTTACGGCTTTCTAGACGGTACGTCGACCGTTTCGCGGCGGCAGTTCGTAGTTCGAATTCTAATCATGTATTAATCGCAGTGTGGCATGGCCCATCCGCGAAGACTTGATCCCGCTGTTCGGGTGAGTTCATGCTCCGTGCCAGTTACCTTGTCGTTGCCGCTGAGCGCGGGAGTTTTAGCCCGACGTTCCCGGCGACATGCCTGTCGCCCGATCAGCCAGGATATGGACAGATACTTCCGGCAGGAAGCGGCAGACGACGCCGCCGACAGGCTGCAACCACAACCTCCGCCGACGCAGCATCTACCCAACACAATATCGCTCGCAGCAGGTACAACTCAGGTAATCTCTCGGAGGCGACGTGGCCGGCGACGTCGTATACTCCGGGGGCCGCCCAGAACGCACTAGCACACCTTTCCCCCCTCATCACGCAACGCCGGGCCTCCCAGCCGGGGCCCATCGCTGCTTCATCATCGCAATCATCGCACCTTTCGCCGAAAACGGAGCCTATATTGCCTCGGTCGTTGGAACATGGAATCGACGGATCACATTCCTTTGGCCAGCGCCACAATCCGCAGCGCAGATATGCACCGTACCCTGCCTCTCCCACTCTCGCCGCTTTTCAGCGCCCCAACGTACCCCTCCCATCCTCCGACCCGACGTCGGCGCACAGCCCCACGTCATATGATTATCATCGCCAATGTCCGACGCCGTCGTCGGTCTCCGCAAATACCGCGGCAGCAGAGCCGATACGCCTACCTCCTCTCCGTGTACCCGACGAGTCGGCTGCGATCGCGCCGTTCTCTCTCCCACCGATTTCCTCCCTGGACAATTTCCAGGGCGTAGAAACGCATGACACCGCGGCTATCCTTCGCCGCTTGAGATTGGACGACGACTGCGACGTGGGTCGTGACTCTAAAACCACGGTTTCACGCTCGCGAAATTCTCCCAATGCACCCCCATCCTCGTGAGTAGGTCATGCATCCCTCGTGGACTCGTACTGAGTAAAGCAGATATCACGACAGAACGACCGTAACACCTGCACCCCAAACAATGGCACCGGGCGTCGGGCGTTGGCCATCGACCAGTAGTTACCAGAAGTAGGTCCCGACGAGCCTTGCTTCATCGAACAGCGCACCGGACCGCTGTCACACACCCACAGCATCGTCCCGGGAGTCGTCCGTGGTGCACTCCCGCACACCCGCGCCATCCATGGGAATGGTTGACGTACACCGAGGCACATGATGTTACTCGCGCACCGCTCGAGTGCCCCACGTTCACTGATTTGCATGGACCCGCCGCGTCTCATACCCGTGCAAGCACACGGATACCTTTGCTTGCGATAATAATGACCTTAGGCCGTATCGTGAGGTGATGTGATCAAACCACTGTATCTACATACAATATAACAATGTAACAATAGCTTCTTCCTCACGTTCAGGTTGTTCGTCTGAAGAAGGGTGGGACTCAAACATGGTTGACGTGCCTTTTCGGGTCGCATCGAATCCACAACCACGGGACCTTCGCGATGACGAGGTGCATTGTGTGAACGGCGACTTCGATTTGAGCTGGTGGGAAGGTACATGAAGTGGTTGTCCCTGAACTCGGTGCCGCGGTCCCACGAGATGGTCTTCACGATGGTGAGCAGGTGCTCTTACGCCCGCGATGAGAATCAGGGGTTATGAGATAACCTATGATGTTCCGAGAGCCGCGGGCGTTACTGACCAGATTCAGGTAGCATAATCTGGAGGGGGATCTGTATGAGTAATCGAGAGCTGGGAAACCACCACGTCGACCGGATCGCGTTTATCATCCGGAGCCGAGGTCGGGAAAATCTTCGGTGCCGTGCACAGCGGCAACATGGAAGAGGTGTGGAGGGTTGGGCAACGGGAATGCATACTGCAAGCGGGGAAAGCGGATGCGTACTGCAGACTACTGCAGGTGGCACATCAGTCTGTCATTCACGAGTTAGCACATAGATTCCGACGAGCATAGCGAAATGCTGGTGGTAACGCATCTGCGTATGTAACCGGATATACCGTGGATATCAGTGTGTGTGGAATTTGTTTATCGGAGCGGTCGAGGATTGATATTCTCCTAAGCCAAGACATGTTCCCGGTCTTCTGATTTGTGATTCCGAAATTTCGAGATATGGTTGCACAACAAACGTCATTAGAATAAGCTTTCTCTGCCGTATCTGCTCCAAACTCGGACCTCACCATCGAGACGGTGTTAATCGAGCAGGACGTGTGAGCTGAACTGGGAGACTCACATCCAGAATCGATGTCGATAATCTGCACAGTGCCCAATGAGAGACACATTGGGTTCATGAGTGCGATATCGAGATCATACCCTGCGTGCGCTGTGCGGATGACGATAACGACACCACAATCTCAGTATCCGAATGGTGGCGCCTCGGGACCAATCCTCGGTACGGATCTCAGGCAAGACAGCGAAGCCGTATTTGGGTTCAATGAGGGCAGTGGGGGAAGTACGTTCCGTGACCAGGGGATACTATATGCGTGCCCGTAGGCCATCATTCGTCGGTCGAGCTTGACTCATAGTATGAGGACAGTTGCTCCAATCAGACAAACGAATCGGATCGTCGCCCGCCCCAGGAACACGAAGAAAGCCATCTCTGAAGCGTAAATGTCATCAGGTGCTTGAGAAGTTAGAGTATCCATTCATACTAGTACTCATTCATTATCGCCAAAACCTCAGGCTGTTACTCAGCAACTGTAGCAGGGAGCGAATGCCTCGTTTGCTCAATCGAGATCGTCTGAGTGGCCACATGTAAGCTTTGCGCGGGATACACTTCCAGTTCTCGGCAACGCTAGGCGTATGGTGCATCGTTTGGTTCTCGAGAAGTATTCAATATCGATGCCCACCGGGGAAATGGTTCCGGTACCGAGGAAGAACACATCCAAAGATCTTGCCATGCGCTCTTGCGGGAACATTTATGGAGTGGAACACATGGCCGCGGGATGTCACCACGTAGAACTGGAAGGGAATGGCGTCGCGTTTATATCGAACGACATGCCCAAATGAATGTGAGATTGTACGGTCGTTTCCATTGCATTGACTGCGGTGTGTGCCAGGGCCGCCGTCAGCTAGATCAGCGAGTGGACGTAGACATGCATTCTCGAGCCGCTTGGCAAACGAATACGCTTTCCGACCTCCGACAAACAGTGAAACAGGCGGGCAAGGAGCACCGTCGCAGAGACCGGTGAGCGCTGCGAGACTGGACCGTCGCAACCAAGGCACCGTGACCGCATTCGCGCAATCCTGAGCGCGCCCCAAGTCAACAGTAAGCTCTATTGTGATCAGAGGGACACGTGAATATTGGTCCCGGCTTCCGAGTCGTTTCCTAATTGATTCCGGAAGTGGTCGAGAGATGCACCGGGGGTCCACGAGTTACAGGCCAGAGCGGCCTCCGAAGGTGCAGTCGGCAGGGTCAAGTGGCCTTTGGTGGCGCTGAAAACAAACGTGACAGGATTCGGGGGGTTGAACGGCTTCTATCTCCCCGGCGCACTGGCTGCTACGAGTTGACACGGCAACCGAGCGGCGGATATGCACCGTTGGTGTACTTTTATCCGAGGACTGAGGCCACTGACAACACGGAGCGGGAAAGAAACCCGCGAGGAGAGAAGAACTTTATCCCCTGAGCACGAGCCGGCAAGAAACAGTCGGTCTGTTGCCTCCGATCACTCGGTAATTGAAGCTGGTTCCTTCTAATCAAACCGCGTTCGACGACGGCGCGGCGAGCGCCCATGTTTCTATGCGCACCACAAAGACCGAAATTCACAGCGGGAGTGAAAGAGTCCAGATGCGCATCTCACGCTCATGATCACCATAGGCCAGCGAAGATTTGTCGGGTTCACGACCCTGCATGAGACTCGTCAGGCATTCCTCACGACAGTCGTTGTTATGTTATGGCCTGGGAACGGAAGAAGTTCCACCACGCTCGCCAGATCGAGTTAAATTGCATACCTAAATCAGCTTCCGATGGACGCCTCTACTAGGCATGCAATGCGGTGGAAGGCGGTAAGCGAGAGGTCAGGGAGGAACTCAGACATTTAGGGGCACGTGGATGTTGATGAGCGTTGATCGCCCGAGTGATATATTCTGTTGCTTAGAGTGTACGCAGAATAGAGGAGCCGCTGCACGCTGCACGTTGCAATCTGAGCAGACGCGGGACATTGCGAGTGGTCGTGCTGTAGTATAAACGAAGCTACAAGTTGCCATCAAACCCTGAACTTGTCGGGCTTATATCTGATTGGCCTTCACGTGATCTGTCGATTCAGTCGTGTCCAAATCTGATCGTGGAAAGATAATAATCTGACCGTGGAACTACATAATCTGATACGTGTCCCTCGGGCCGGCTGTGGATGAACTTCCCACGGCCCTAACTTGTCTTAAGGTCGTGAAAAGCACAGTGTTTGTTTATCAGTTGGACCGAAGTTGTAGCGAGCGAGCCTCGAAGCCGAAGTTAGATGCAATAATGCGTCTGATTCTGAGACACGTATATTCAAAGGGATCATTCGCTTTCGGGGACTATGCCTCCCTCAATAAAGTTCCACCCAAGCTGCTCGTAGGTCCATCCGAAGGTTTTGTTACTGCCGGGTACATGAATGGTGGTCAAGGCTTTATGCATTCCGGGCTTCTTATGAATTGCATCAATCCTCGCCATTTCTTCAGGCGAAAGAGTTAAGAGCTGTGGACCACATATCAGTCCTAGTGATTCACTCGCGGCTCCTTTGGAGTCTCACCGTGATGTTAGCTTTCATTCTATCTTCGTTCTCGCTCTTTGGGATGACAGGCGTCCCACGCTGAACACCCCAGCTAAGAACGACCTGAGCAGGGGTCGCGGCGTGAGTCTGAGCGATGGCGGTGACGGTGGGCTCTGTGAAGAACACGGGTTGGGTTTGGCCTGCCCGATGTAAGCGTCATCATATGTTGGGAGGCGTTCGCAGTCTCACCGAGAGGCGAATATGCCACAGGAAGTATATCCTTCGACCGACAGTACGCAATGAGCTCGTTGGAAGGGAGACATGGGTGCAGCTCGACCTGGTTGACTACGGGTACGACCGTAGCACGCGGAAGAAGCTGGTCCAAGAGCTTGATCGAAAAGTTGGATACGCCTATGCTTCTGAGCTTGCCTGAAAACGGGTTCATAATCACGCGCGCGTAAATCAAACGAAGCTGACCTGTGCCTAGCAGCTGTTCCATAGCCTGCCAGGTTTCCACGAAAGTCGGTGACGCATCAGGGGGCAAGGCTGTGACTACATCAAAAAACGCGCAAAGTCTGCAACGCAGGTGGGTAAGACGTACGCTCAGAAAGCCAAGCATCTTCCGGTTTAGTGTTGGCTGAATGCCCCTTGGGTTAGTGAGTGGCAAGAAAGGGACACTCAATCGTACCATCAACGATAACAGCCTGGGGGAAATGCATCAGGTACAAGTCGATATAATCGCAGTCCAAGTTCTTGAACGACTCCTCAAATGCATGTTGAACATCATGGTGGTCGGTATTCCTGTAAACGCATGAAACGTCAGTCTCGAATCGGTAACGGGAACTGGTCCGTACGGGAGCTTGGTCGTGACATAGAATTCCGATCTCGGGATCCCGGATTCCTTGATGGCTTTCCCGACATGTTGCTCGTTGCCTGCGCAAGGGCTACTGAGAGAGTCCGGGGCACATTTGAGGATCGCGGTACTAACCATATCCGCTGGCCTAGACCATGAGAGAGGCTGAGAAAAGTGTGACAATCCAGATGGAACTGACGTACAGTATCGAAGTGTCGATAGCCATGCTTCAGACGCAACCGCTGATCAGCATCGACGAATCGGACGTTGCTGTGCCCGTACCTCGATCGCTTTCTTGCACATGATCTCTACTTTCTCTCCTCCACCAGGCGACCCCATCCAGCACCTGAATGTGTTAGTACGCTTCGTGGTTCATCCTGGAACGCAGAGCATGGGGCATACCCCATTCCAACTGATGGGATCTTCGTGCCATCGTTCAAGGTGAAAACAGGGATGTCCGCCATGCCAGAGTACCTCAAAAAAGGGAACGAGAGTGGATAGTCAATGTGGTTTCAAGGTGTTCTTATTGTTATCGCTGAGATCGAAGGTCGCTGACAAAACAGAGAACCGGTAGTGGGCCATGGTGGGTCGCAAGACCCAACAATCGGGTTTGCAGGCAGCGCTGGGCGCCGATAATCCATATTCACGCATGATGCATAACGTATCATCGTGGATTAATGACACACAAACGAAGCCGAGTGTGCTCCAGAAGAAAGAGTAACAGGTCGGAGGCCTGTCCAACGTGGAGGAGGCGTGAGAATCTTGACTCAAAACTCCGAATTTTGCGAACTAGATTGTTGGTCCTCACGCACTCGGAACGGTTCTCTTGACCTGAGTCCTTGCTTGGCGATGATAACGCATTCAGAGCACACATAGCGAGCTATACTCGTGGATGATTGAGCTAGACAACCTGTCTGAGTATGAGTATACCAGACGCGATCCTCCGACCTCAAGGTTCACAGCAATAATGTATCTACGCGCCCTACTTGGCTGGTCGGCTTCATCGGTCACAACCTCTTCCAGTTATCTCGAGTTCTAGTCACCAGACGTATAACTCCCAGACATACAAGGACCGTACATCTGCTTTTGCGCGACCCCGGCGTCCGCATGGGGGCGCTCTAAACCATGACCCAGGGACAACTGCGCGCGTTTTAATATCACAAGGACTCTATCCTCTTTTCGAAATCTTCTCTGATACCCCTTCAGCGTCTGCTCTGTTCTGCGCCATTCCATGCTTGTTACCACCAGCTTCTGTCGTGACCACTGGATGACACGAGCTTTCCCAATGCCAGTGGAACACGAGGGTAAGAGTCTATACCCTATGCGCATCTTCGTAGGCGCTACTACGCAAGGATCATCGGTGTATGCAGCCGCACCTTTCCCAAGCCTGCTACCTGCGACTGTCAGACACTGTTGCTCATCGCGTCGACCGCAGTCCCATGCGTCGCGCGCTCCAATCATCGCTCAGCCTTCGGAGCTCGGTACCGTAGGACACGGTTCCTCAGGCCTCAGAGTTCACCGGAGCCGTACAGCCTTGCCTTTCACGGACGAGATGGGACAGGCTATCTTGTAGGCACTTCGGTGCGTTTCGTTAGTTTCGTGTTCGCCGCGCTTTCCACGGTCCTCCGGCAAAATGTAGAAGTCACGTAAGATCCCTTCATCGTTCCCGTGAGTCACGGCTTCGCCATTGCTTGTCTCAGGACGAATAATTTACCGTGACAGCTTCTGCTTACATTGTGCGGATGGAAGGTCGCATCGCTGACCTATCCGCTCGCCAAACAAGCAAAATTGATTCCGTCCGCACAAAACCAGGGTCCTGCGGACGAATTTAGCGGTGAAACGGCTAATCCGGGGTGTGTATTCCTGCACTGCGTTTTCTCAACGCGAACCTAGGGCCATATTAGTGATACATGGCCGCATCGCAACAAAACGCCGACAAAGCTGCAGGCATTGATTCCAAACCCGACCAATCGTGTCTGATGGTCCGCTGGAGGCTCAGAGACACTCGACTGCGTGCCACGACTGACCTGTCCTTACATATCGCTATCGTACTCGTGACATCGGAAGCGCCCTCGGGGTACCGACCGTGTTATTATCATACGGGATTTCGTTGGCCATCCGGATCGTACAAGACCACGGTCTGCCGCATAACAGGTTCCTGCGTACTATCGAGCACGCACATCCCCATGAAGCATCGGAACATCTCAGCGCCGAACTCACCATTCACCTGTTCGTGTGCATCACTATCATCATGGTAGGTCAACGTTTCAACCGTAGGTAGGGCTGGTGCACCCCGAATCCGTCTGGGCCTTCTGATGCGAGAGGAAGCACATTCTCGCTTCTGCATAATTAGACTGGCTAGACTTTTGTCGATGCGTGATATATGACTTGAAACGATGGGAACACGTCGACTTACACGGTTCGTCAATATTCCGGAGTGAGTATAACTGGCTCCTCGCCCCAGGCGTCGACGGGTCATTAATATGAAAACTGCGCACGGCGCTTGGACGTAATCACGATCCAAGCCGCGGGTTCCACCCCTACTTCGTCCGGATGAGGTTCACCGACAGTCACGTAGATCATAAGGCGCGACCATCTCTTGGGACTAGAATTCGAGAAGATGGTACAAAGCCGCAACAGCGGCGAAGTCGCAATTCGACGTTAGTCCTAAACACGTGCGAGACGTTCTTGAAGCCGAGGCCAAGAAGGTAAAGAAAATCACGGACACAAGCAGAAACCGCGGTAGGCAAGGTGTTGGACAGGAGCAAGCCAGACTAAGTAAGAGTCGTAAATGGTCGTAAACGCCGTAAGGGATCGTAACGTAGATGAAAAGCACGAGAAAGCAATGCTAGGCGAAGAATACAATGCACGTAGATTAAATGCGAAGGGGGGGGTCTCATGAAACGGAAGAACCGAGAGCCCTGTGGGGTAGCGACATATCGTGTGTGTCAGTGTTCTGCGAGGCATGCTGGGGATGTCGAGATCGTATGGAGGAGGTGAGATTATCGCGTTCCCCGACCGGCCATGACCATCTTGCGGAAGACGACCCGGAGTGCTACCACGCACACCCCAAAGCCAACCAGGAGGACGTATGACGGCAGCTGCGACATCGACGGCAACTGGAGTTCGTCCCGAAGCTTCCCAGCTAACTCCCGGCCGCGCCTAAGGTGGACATCACGCGAGCTGACCACCGCGTCTTTCTTGTTCTGCTCCTCTAGGTCGTGGGCCGAGCTCTTCTCCTCCTGCTCGGCAATGGACTTCTCCCTCTCGCGTCGCTCCGAGTCGAGGGTTTCTGCGAGTTCAATCGCACGAGTGAGTGCCTCCTCCTTGGCCAAACGTTCCTCTTCCAGCTTGGCCTCCAACTCCTTGACACGAACGGATTCCCCATCTTCCGCAGCGGTGATGCGGGCCTCGAGCAGCTCCAGCCTTCGCCGGAGGTCGTCCACCAGGCCATGCGTAGCGTCCAGCTCGGCCTGAAGCCGTTGCACTGGTCCGTCATCTTCAGCCCCCGTCGGCAGTCGTCGATCGTCTTCAGCCCCCGTTGACACCGTCGCGTCATTCCCGCCTTGACCATGCTCCTCCGGAGAGAAGATAGCTGTGACTACGCGTCGCTCATCTCGCGCCTTGCCGCCTTTCAGCCCGCCGCTGCCCTTTGACTTGCCCGAACCACCAGAGTGCGAAGGCACAATCGTCTCCATGCCGGCCAAATCCAGCTCTGGCTCCGGTACGTCGACGTGCTTCATGGTGGCTCCCGGGGCGGCGTCCATCTCCTCCCATGCACGAGCGCCCCAGGATCCAGTGGCCGAATTAGCAAGGAGCTCCTCCATCGTAGGTTCCTGGTCTTCCCCGTCATCCTGTCGGGCACGGGAGATCGGCGCGAAAACATCGGGAGGCGAGTACGAAATTTCATGGTCACCATGAACGGAGCCGACATCGCTACCGCTTTCGCTGCCCAACTCGCTACCGCTCTCACTTCGCCGGCTCTCGAGGCTCTGCACGATGCGACTAACCCGCCCCTCGCGGCGGACCCGACGACGCTCCGCGCGTTCTTCATCGTCCAAGCCGGCCTCGCTCATGCGTTCCGGGGAAGATAGGATGTCCTTGGAGCCGTTGGAGCTCAGCAAATTCTCAGAGGAAGCAGATGGAGAGAACAAGGGGAAGAGCGGGGATGAGGCGTCGGCGTCCGGGCCCCATATTCGACCCTTGACGGCGTCCGCGCGTAGTGCCCTGGCGGCGGCGAGGAGCGCGCTTCGCCACAGCTGATTCACGCCCATCCTGTACAGATATATCAGGTGAATGAGTGCGCAAGAAACATCGATAGGACGCACTCTTCCAGATCTCCTTCGTTCAACCGAAGGAAAACCCGCCCGCCGATACGAGCTTGACGAACGAACGCGGCGATGTCGCGCGCCACGGCTTGAGGCAGCGCATCCTGGCCACCCGAGCGTACGCGTAGAGCGGCGCTGAGGTAAGAGCCGAGTTGGCTGGGGGTCCACAATTTCGGGTTGGCGGGAAGATCGAGGTAAGGGATGTCGGCGGCGGGGGTGGTGTTCGGTAAGGTTGGAAGGGTCTCGGCACGGCGAGTCCTGCGAGGAGGTGTCCAGTTGTCATCGACTTGCGCGTCCACGAAACCGACGTCGCTGGAATTGGAGTGATTCGAGAGCGAGGAAGAACTTCGTGGCGGCGGCGTCGGAAGAGCGCGCGGAGGGGTAGGTAGCGGTCGCGGCTTCTCGTCGTTCAAGCTCTTTGAATGTTTATGCCCCTTTCCGAAGTCATCGCTCGACTTCCGGCCTCGCGAACCGGTGCTGAGCGAGCTGTTGGTCGGACTTGGTGAAAGCGGGACGTAGTAATGGCGGCTCTGGTTAGTGTGTCCGGAAGAGTTTGCTCGGGAGAGGAGCGCGGTAGACGTTGTCTTGATGGCGTATGGATGCGGATTCGGCTCGTGCTTCTTGGGGCTGACGAGAGGGAAGGAAGGCGACGGTAGAGGTCGCGATGAAGGTGGAGGCGTAGCGGGTACGGGTGACGAAATCGGGTTCACCCCGTTCGCGGTAGCAGTTGCAGCCATCGCAGGGGTAGAGACCTTGAGGTGGGTGTATGCACTGAGACTTCGAGTTCACGGGTATATGGAAGGTAGCTGTGAATGCATGGTCGTCATTACCAGACCACGGCGATCGATACTCGGAAATTTATGACCTACAAGGCTGACTATAAGCGCGCGCTCTGATCGAAGCACAAGTTACGGCTGTAGCTGATTGACCTGCGCCGCAGACCTCCTTGAATCCTGAATCATCCGTCTCAAATCGCGTCAGGCTGGAGAGTCGTGATCGCTCACAGAGCAGGATCTCGTTTGCGACTTCAACTTTGAGACTTCCACGCTGTAGCTGGGTTTTCAAGGATCCAGTTGCTTCGCCTTTGTCGCCGCCGTTCCACTCGGCGTCGTGGTCGCCGCAGAGAATGACGACAAGGTGGGGGAGCGAGCCTCACATGACCGCGTGAGAACTGAGTCGACCAACCCGCGACGCCCTCATGGTCGTCTACTTTGGACCGCCTTCAGTAGTCTTCATCGCAAGATCACTCTGGGTCCGACTAATCTGCTACCGTGTGGATTGAACACTTTGGGAACATGATTCATTCGCCCACGGTGTACATTCATTTCCCTTGGTCACGAAGCAGCTTGCAAGTGTTAGTGGATCAAACACCTTCAGCATCGGTCAGAATGGGACTTGAGTGCCCTTGCTCGAAAAATAGGTGCTCTTCAGTTGCCAACCTCGTCTCCGCGCTGCGTGCGAGGCACTATGGCCCGACGTTCACAACGGCACCCCGCTGCCGAAAATGCTGCCCTTCTTTCCCCAAATAACTGCTTCCGCACCCGTTCAGTCTATCTCATGATGACAACACCTGAATGCGATGCTATGTCATCCTTACCACATCCCGTATGTTGCCGCAGTTGTTAAATAGGTGAGCTCGACAGTCGTAGCGGATTCACATATCTGCATTCCCGCAGCTCGCTGAACACGCTCTTAGACAACGGGGCGTCGTGATTCGACCATGTCAGAAAGATCTAAGGTCGTCATTGCGATTGTAGGAGGTGGCATCGGTGGTATATGCGCGGCCATCGGGCTCGGTCGCATCGGCTACGATGTGCATATATTCGAGCAGGCTCCCCAGTAAGTCATCAGCGTCATCTTCAGGATCACCTCGGACTCAATCTAGTTTCCAGGTTCTCTGAAATCGGCGCGGGCGTTGGCGTTGGAGGAAATGGTGTTCGCACTTTGCATGCGATGGGACTGGGCGAGGACTACGAGAAAATTGCGGACATGAGCGAACCATATGCTCCGTGGTTCACGTTTCTGACATGGGACAAGGGCGATGTCGTAACCTCCGTAAGCTAACAGCATACTTCCAGGATAGCAGTGTGCTGAACTACGGTCAGGTTCCCATGCACGGACGTCGAGGCAATGTTCACCGGTAAGCAAGGAGCGCGATTCGGTGGCCCTCATGTGCTGACCGTCTGGCAGAGCTCGCTTCCTCGACTGTCTCTTGCAGCATATGCCCTCCAACGTAACCACCCATTTCTCGACGCGGGTCACCGAAGTCCGTAACGTGGACGATGGCAATGGAACGCCATCTCGGGCATGTCTCAGCATCATGACTGCGAACTCCACCAGTACCGAATGGTTCGAAGCGAGCGCTGTTATCGGGTGCGATGGCGTGAAGAGCGTCGTAAGCCCATGTGCAATCACAACATGACACTCTGATGCATACACATGCGGTTCATAGGTTCGTGACAGCTTTCATAGCGAGATGGGTGGCCGTATCCTGTACTCTGGTAGCTATGCGTACCGTGGGCTCGTGGATATGAAGAAAGCGGTGGAGCAAACAGGAGAGATCATGCGGCAACCGGCAATGTGGATGGGGAAGGACAAGGTAGGCGATACAGTCATGTTTCCAGCCACTCTGTCTTTTCGACGCTGACAGAGGTCTCGACAGCATGCTGTGCTCTTTCCGATCGACCACGGCAAAGTGCTGAATATCGTCACTTTTGTGACCGACCGTTCGGTCGATGTCAATGAGCGAGTATGGGAAGGACCGTGGGTCAAACCCGCCTCTCATGAACAGATGGACCGAGATTTTCGGGGCTGGGACCCCAGGCTTCGCATTGCTCTGTCTGTACGTCGTCTCTCCGAAACTGCGTCGCTGCGTGGTTGATCTCAAGTCCCCCAGCTCATAGACAAGCCTGAGGTATGGGCATTACATGATCTGTCCATACTTGATCGATGGACAGTAGGACGAGTAACACTACTTGGCGACTCTGTAAGGGCACCCACCTGATTCCTGATTCCGGGTGCACTGCTCACATTTGTTCTGCAGGCTCACGCCAGCATGCCTCACAATGGTGCCGGGGCAGGCCAGGCGATCGAGGATGCTTACGTTCTTGCGAAGCTTTTCGAACATCCTGCTTGCAATGCCGAGACCATTCCGGACTTCCTGCAAGCTTATGAAGACGTCCGTCGTCCAAGGGCATCCTACCAGCAGATTCATTGCCGGGAAAGTGGTGATGTAAGTCGCCCTGCGTTGTCTCTATCATGGTGGCGAAGCCCCGATATCTTCACCTTTTCTCTTGCTTACTACGTCGTTGAAGCGCGGGTCGCTGACCTGATTGTACGATGCAGATATACGAATTCGCCAGCCCCCTCGGTGACGATCTCACGAAGATCGATTTCCACCTTCGGGACCGCTACTCGTGGATTTGGGATCACAACTTGGACCACGACGTGGAGTATGCGTTATCTTCTTTGCGTAAGAAAGGCGTGATTGTCACCTAGACACTGTATGTTCCATGCAATCATGCCTGAACCTTGGGATTCTGTGAGTGGACGTCTCCAGTGGAGTCTTCTGAGCGCTACCGCTTGCGATTACCATGCCCAGGTTACGACTGAGCGGATCGCAGGCAGCGAAGAGTATCTCACGGGCGATTACGGCGTGTTCACATGTCGCCGAATATGGGTATGGAGACCTGTGGGACACATGAGAATTAGACGCATTAGCGCGAGGTCGTGCCTTCTCTCTGTGCTCAATATGCACCTCGCGTCCACTGAGCTTGACTGTGCCCCAAACAGATCATCGTTTCCATACGGACCCGAACATCACCCGGCGTCCATGGACAACTCAAGATGCTTCGTTAACTGCACGCACTAGTCCGTAAGCGTCTATGCACGTCCATCTCGCGTCATATAACTCAACGAATCATGACGCGTCTTTGGTTCTTCCGCCACGATTAGCATCCACGGCCTTCTTTTCTTATTTTTGGGACAATGCCACCTCTGCCGACATGTTAGTGGGAACTCCGTGCATATTCCTGGCTCCAACAGGTCCCGTTTGCAGAAGGTCCTCATCGCCCATGGCGCGCTATCGCTCGCTACGCCATTAGATTGCCTCAACTTCCTCAACCCCCACCATGACCTCGACGATGTCTGAGTCAACTAAATCGGGAATAACGGTCGCTATCATTGGCGGCGGGATTGGAGGCATCTGCGCAGCGATCGCGCTCGGTCGCTCTGGTTACGATGTGCATATCTTCGAACAAGCTTCCAAGCACGTATCTGCTCCTGGATACTCTCCATTCATTCATCGACTCACGTACACTCCTAGGTTCTCAGAAATAGGTGCTGGGGTCGGCTTTGGTGCCAATGCGTTACATGCGCTTCATCTCCTGGGACTCGGGGACGACTATGAGCAGATAGCTGATGTCTCCCCGGCGGGGGACCCGTGGTTCTCGTTTTTGTCCGGCAAGGATTGCGAGCCGATCTCAGAGGTGAGACTTCGGCTTTTCTAGATGCGCGGTTTCATCAGTTGCTAATCATTGAGCAACGAAGGTCCTGAATCCTGCCCCTCGTGGTAGTGTCCACCGGTAACGGGAACACTTGTGGAAGGGTTATCGCGATTTCTCACTTGCGACGCGTCTCAGTGCGCGTTTCTTGGAATGCCTTCTGGCAAGGCTGCCGCCAACGGTTTCGACGCACTTCTCGTCCCGCGTCATCTCTGTCGAAAACATATCATCCAGAGATGATCAAGCCCCACATGTACGATTGACCACGGTCCATCCGGACTCGTCGAATTCGATACAGTTCAAAGCCGACATTGCGCTGGGATGCGATGGCGTGAAGAGTATGGTTGGTGTTTCCACCCACTGTTGATCGTTTCGAACACCAAGGTTGAATATATGCGTTAGGTACGCGATAGCTTCCAGCAAGAGATGGGTGCATGCGTGCGATACACCGGTACGTACGCGTATCGAGGTCTCATGAACCTCGAGAAGGCGGCTTCGGAGGCCGGTGACTTCGTCAGAGGCCACTGTATGTGCCTCGAAAGAGACAAGGCGAGTTCACAAGGACCACCTTGCAATTGGTGATCGATATGAACTCTTCGACAGCATATAGTCATGTTTCCTATCGAGCACGGCAAGATATTGAACATCGTCGCGTTTGTGAGCGATCGCACCCGGCCACCTGAAGAGCGCGTCTGGGAAGGGCCATGGGTCAAGCCCGTAACACGGCAAGAGATGTTTGACGATTATGCCGAATGGGATCCTAGGGTGCACGCTATCCTCTCGGTTTGTCTTGCCTTGCAGGATCATGAAATTGTGCGTTGACCATCTGAGACCCCCCGACCCCCCGATAGCTTGTGGACAAACCGGAAAAATGGGCTCTGCATGATCTCTTGCCTCTAGAACGATGGACGGTGGGACGCGTTACGCTCCTGGGAGACTCGGTAATGATTACACTTAACTCAACGCTGCGCGTTACTGACAGGCCCTGGTGTCTTCAGGCGCACGCTAGTCTGCCTCACAACGGCGCTGGGGCAGGACAGGCCATCGAAGACGTCTACGTCCTCTCAAAGCTCCTTGGGCACCCGTCTTGTGCCGCGGATAATATTCCAGCCTTCCTTCAAGCATACGAACACGTCAGACGTCCGAGAGCATCGCGGCAGCAGATTCATTCGCGCGAAAGCGGTGACGTGGGTTTACAGGATCAGACAATCAACAGGGTAATTATGCTGATCGCATATCACAACATCCCCCAGATCTACGAATTCGCGAGTCCAATGGGGGACGATTACGCGAAGATCGACGAACATCTGCAGAGGCGATATGATTGGCTGTGGAACCATGATCTGGACAGCGACGTAGAAGAGGCATTGACGTTTCTTCGTGATAGAGGCGTGTTAGCCAAGTAGTGCCTATAGATGTCCCCAGTCCGCAGAGATGACCGGTCCACACATGGGAGCGGTTGGATCGCAACCATGCCCTGTAACGAAACCTTGTGGGCCAGCTTTCTGCGACAGGGTCGCAACGAGGCGAAGCGAATGTCAAATCCGCGTTCGGGATTAGTGGCATTGCCAGACGGTGTGAAGCTCGTCAAGAGGTGTGACATGCCCGATGACGCCCAAAAGCCGTCCCATGCGATGAAGGGCTAGAGGGACAAGACCGTCCTCGCCTTCAAGCCAATGACACCACCGCCTCTCCCGTCCCAGCCAGGGATGGTAGCACGGCATACGGGGCATCTGTGGTATGAAACGCATGCGATCAGACGAAGCTTGACAGGCAACGTCTGAGAGGAGGACATACCGCGCAGCTGCGGCTTGCGCCAGATCCATCGGAGTGACCTGGTTTCGTCGCAAGGTGGTCTTGATGGCAGTAAACAGGCACTGGAAAATGCATGAGTATGGAGTCGGCTCTACAAGAAAACGAGCAGAGGCGCACATCACCGCACAGAACATGCCCACATGGCGTCACAGTCGCTCGTGTGGGCGGAGAGAAACATATTGGACAGCTGTACGCTCCGAGGGGCTCCGGCTCGCGGCGTTGGCTTTCCGGAGGAGGCTGGGTGGCGGGCGGCTCGGTGGCTTGGGAGAGCGGCGCGGTTTCTTGGGAGAGGAGTTCGATCGAGGATGATGGCCCTGGTTGCGGGGAAAGAGGAGGCGGAGAGGAGGCGGGTTCCATTTTCGGTTGCTTTCGTCGACGTTTGGCGCCTTTCGGGGAGACAGTCTCTATCTCGGGAGACAATGGTGCAGCAGTGCTCGGTCCCGCCGCGCCCAAGCTTGATCCGTTGTGGTCCGCCGGTGCCTCCGAGGCACGCCTCCCTCGTCCCGCTCCCGTTCCCGCTCTCGGCCTCTTCCTTCCCCGCTTCGATGCTGCGGGAGTATCGGTGTCCGGTGGTAGTACTGCTGATGGTCCCGCCACTGCCTCCGATGTACTCGGACCAGCACCATCACCAAAACCGTCCGGGAACTCTTCCACCTCCTGTACAACCGGCGACGTAGCCCTCCCTCGCATTGCTGCCGCTGCCGGACGCCTTCCCTTTCCTCGTCTCGCCGCGGAGACCTTACTCGACTTCGCGAGCGTGCCTGTGCGTTCGTGTTGGTGTGGCGCCGGGGGAAGATTTGTGGTGAAGGTGCGAGCACTCGTGCTTGAGCCGGCCTGCGACCGCGTTGAAGTCAGGCTGGATGCGCGGGAACTAATGTGCGATCGACTGCGGCTTCGCAATTGCCGAGTCGTAGTCGGCGCAGGTAATGGATAGTCATCTGTATGTGGGCGCGCGCTAGGATGTGCAGACGAAGGCATGGACAGTCAACAGGGATATGGAGGGACAAGACAAGGGAGTCGTGGGTGTTACGTAAGTAAGCTGGCACGGCATTAGCCGGACGCCCTAATCTCAGATTTCTTGCGATCGAAGATTCGAGCTCAAAAGCTATAGTCAACCCATCGCACATGCAATACGGACCTAGTGGAGTAGCATCCATCTCATCCATTGCCCAACGAGAGTATCTATAGCTTTGCATAGAAGGTTCAGATGTCCAAGTACCGCCTGGATGTCACCAATTACACGTCCGCGACTTGCGCTCAGTCGGCCAAGAAGTCGTCCTCCTCGTCTACGAGAAGCTCCAGGAAGCGCAAGAAAGAGGCTGCGGGAAAGCCGACGACGTTGTTGTAGTCTCCATCGACTTTGCGGATGAGCATGCCACCAAGGCCCTGGGAAGATCAATCGTCAGTCTGTGGTTCAGGAAGGCCTCGAGTATCTTACTTGGATAGCAAAGCCGCCAGCGCGGTCCAGTCCTTCTCCGCTGTCGACGTACGCCTTCAAGACATGTTGTGGGCTATCCGAAAAGTAGACGAGGCTGCGCTCGTCTATGGACCTGGACGTCACGGCATGAGAATACAACTCTGCATCGAATGGTTTCATGTCATACTTGATGTCATATCCGGGAGCAACCAACGTCGGATATACTTCACACGACCCGTTTGAGCTTCATGTTCCTGCAAGTCCCAGACTACGCTCACCTAAGGTGACGCCGGTCACGACCTCGCAAATTCCACCGTTAAGGTCGAGAAGCATGCGCATGTTGTCTTCCTTGCTCGTAGGTTTCTCCAACAGGTCCTGAGGCCCGGAATCCGTTCCGTACGTCGCGTCCGACGTGGATGGTGGAGCATGCGTGAAGACGACGGTGTCGGCTGCGTGATTTCTGATCAGAGGAGATCCTCGCGGCATGGAAAGAGACGCACCTGCTATGACAAGGTCCGGAGCATCGTCCGGATTCTCTTCCTGCACAGACTGATCAGCAACGGTTGCATATCGACAACAAACGCCGCGCTCACCAGCAAACGCTGGTACACCTCTACCGCCTTCTGGGTCGCGGTCGCCACAGGATACTCGTGGATGTCCTCGAAGGATCCAACAGGCAGGTTCTCCTCGAACGTTGACGGAACGATCTCCGGCTCGAGACCCTTGTGTTCATGAGAGATGTGTTGCTGCAAGCTACGTAGCCCTGGACCAACGCACGAAGGTGCGGAGGATCTCCCGCCTTCTGGGACTGTTGGAGGCGAGCACGACGCGCTTGCCGGCGAGTTTCTTCAAGCTTGGGAGGGCGGCGGCGTGCGAGAGGATGCAGTTGTGCTTCGGCATCGTGGTGGTGACGAAAGTGTGATCAAAGGAGAACGCCGACGTTTGCTTCCGGCATGCCCGCCGTGGCTTCGATCGTCTTTGTATCTCTATCTACTCTTTGACTGCTGAGCAGGATGACATTCCTCGAACTAGGCTTTGACGTGATTTCAATCATACTGAAATTTTTGGAACCGACAGATGTTCAAGCCATGGCCCTCTGTTGCAAGACAGTCTACGACATGTCAATACCCGCCCTCTGCAGCTCCGTCGTACTGCGAACGCCCCTTCAACTAAACGCCTTCTGCGAGTTTATGACTTTGCATCCTTTATGCATACCCTACGTCCATCACCTCCGCCTTCGCACGTCGCTTACGATGCAATGGATGAAAGGCCCGATGGCGACGCTCGTCGCGATCTCCTTCGGCGCGGACCTCCTCGCTGACGTCCTCGCTCGCGCGGACAACCTGACGACGCTAGCCATCGAGCACGCTGACCGTGTACTCAACGAGAGCTTGGAGCTCATCGCCGCCCTTCGAAGCCGTCCGCGGCTGCTCAACCTGACGCTCACGCACGCCGGCCCTCGCGCGCTCGACCTCGTCTCCGGCCTGCGCACGGTACAGCGCCTCGACCTACACCGCCAACCGCAAGTAGACGTACGCGCCCCGCCCGTCCGCGCCTCCGCCTACCTCGCGCCCATCGCGCCCACGCTCCGCACCCTCGTCCTCTCCACCCCGACGCACTCGGACGAGCGCGAGTTCGACGGCGTGCTCTGCCCCGCGCTGTCCGAGCTGCAGCTCACGACGCGCAGCGCCGTCCTCGAGCGCTGGTTCGCGCCCTTCCCGGCCGTGCGCCGGCTCACGATCCGCGCCGACTGGTCCGTCGTCGACGCCTTCCCCGCCGCCTGGTCCTCCCTACCGTGGACCATCCTGGACCGGCTGGTGGGTAATATCCAGGGCCTCTGCAGCCTCGGGATCGCGTGCGAGGTGCGCTTCATCGGGATCGATCCACCGCCCGTCACGGGCGGCCACCCGGATCCGTTCGGCGACCCCGCGTACGAGGCGATGTTCATGGAACTTCTCTCGCGCACGCGCCCGACGGCACTCGCGCTCGGGTACTCGAGCCTGCGCGCGTCCAGCAACACGCGCGTGTTCGCGCTCCTCGCCGACACACAGCATCAGCTCCGCTTTCTCGACGTCTCCGTGCTCTCGCGGGACTGGCTCGAGCTCATGGCGTCCTTGGTGAGCATCTCTTCTTTTGCCTCCCCTAGCAAAGAATTACCCGAAAAAAATCAACACGTACTTTGCTGTCTTAGATGCGAATCGCCGGACACATGGCGTCTGCCTCGCTGGAATATCTCTCGCTGACGCTCAAGACGAGGACAAGGCCCCGGCCGAGCAACCCGTCAAGGACCACTCGTGGTTGCTCCGCTTCGTTGCCAAAGAAGTTGCTGCGGCGAAGTACATCGAAATGTCGTGCCCGCCGGCCCGTATATCTCGAGGCTGGTACAGGATCACCCGCAAGGGGGCAGACCCTCCGTTACTCGAAACCCTTTCCGAGGCCCATGGCTTGGCCCTGCGTAAGCAGTGGACGTACCCCTCGACGCCGTGATATTCCTCTGCTCTGTGGAGAAGCGTGAAGACGATCTCGATGAGAACAGTATCCGCGTCTTTGCTCTGTTCAGATCACATCTCGCTGGTGTTGGGCATATCGTCCCCCCCTCTGCCCTATGCTATCCTCAACGGTTGAAGTCCTTACGCCCCGCAGTTAGTAGGAGCCCTCGTCTATCCTGCGTCGAAAATATGGCAATGACGGTCGCCGGTCGTGTTGATGCCTGTACTCGCATGAATTGGACACTTCGACTAGGGGTGCCCAGTGCGTCACCGCAGTTCCCCCATCAGTGGGGGATAGGGTGGTTGAGTCGTGGTTTGATGGTGGTAGTGCTGCCCTCGAAAGCGCCTCTATCGTCAGCTCTCGGGTCCCGATAGTCTTGTCGTGCGCAGTGCTGTGAGTGAGTAATATAGGGTGGAGAGGCTTCTTGCCTGCGGTCAGTGCGCCGCGGAGCGTCGATCCAACGAAAATAGCATATCGCGTGCCACGCTGTGTTCATACTCGTCTTCAACTCATCCCCCCGCTGCGATCTTGGAGCGTCCGGTGATGATATCTCCCCGCGGACGGTCTCGCTACACCTCTCCGGTATTGTTCCGATGTGCTGCGGATGCCAGTGTGGTTCGTGGTGAGTTGACTCTGGTAGACTACGCGCTTACCGTTTCAACGTTCCACGTGCAATGCCTCTGACGTATCTGTCCACACTACCTAATATCCATCCGATGATCCGAACCTATCTTGCGCTCCTCTTGCCTCGACACACGGACAGGGGAGTAGAGGGGAGTGAGTGCTTGTGACGGAGGACGCGCTCGGCAGTGAATGCCGCTCTCACAGCCTTTTGTCCCACGATCAGAACGAAGGGATGACCGTGCGTCTTTATTGGTGGCTGTGCTGTTGCGCCGATCACCCTTCTGCAAGGCCGCCTTGCGCCACGCTCACCCCCTCGTCCTCGCCAAAACCACCCGCCGCGTCCTGATACGCACGATCACAAGCAAGGATCAGACGCACCCGATCACGACCTCATCACCACCCTCGTCTTCTGGTACCAGCCCGTTTGAATACGTTCTCCCAACAGTCGGTTAAACGGCTAAACGGGATCGCGGCACGCACCATTTGCGATAGCGCGTCCGAGCGGTCCGCGTCCAGGGGATGGCTGTACGCGCGAGGGAAGCAAGTAAGCATCGAAGCGGCTATGCGATTGGATTGCCGCCGCTGCGCGCGAAAGGGGTGGTAGAGGCAGGCGACTCGCGGACAAGATGAATAAATACGACGCTATCGGCCACTGGGATTGATCCCTATCGCCCCTGGGCCCCCCACGTACCTCCGAAAGCTACAGAACACAACCGGAGACGCGTTTGCACCCAACGACCCGATACGCGTCCGTCTGTGCCAACACCTCCTACGACACGAGCGGCCCAATCTGGCAGCTACCACGAGCTACACGTCCGTACCGACGACGGCCTATCACGCCCCGGCCATGAACACCTACGCGACGTCCTATCCTCCCGCTGGCGCTCCGACGCCCTATGACCCCCCAATGTACCAACCTACCTATCCCGGGCGCGGACGCGCCGATGAGCGAACCCTTGCCGGCACGCGCTCGATGACCCCCAGCCCGACACCGAGCGAGGCCGCATACCTCGCACGCGATACGATGACGGACCCCGGCGCGATTCGCCGCCCCGAGTTCTGGAGGAAGCCGAAGAACGTCTGTGAGTACCGCGCCTTCTTCTGCTTTACGCGCGCTTGTCGAGGTCGCCCCATACCGATGTCGTTTGCCCAGTGATCGTGATCGCGGTCGTACTGGTGATAGTCGCCGCCATCCTCATCGCGCACTTTGAGCACCAGATCATCGTCGCGCTCCAACCCTTCTCGGATTGGATGAAACGGTACGGTTTACTTTTGGAACTTGCCGCGCTGCCCCTTCGTGACCTGACTTCCCGCTCTCGGGAGATCTGGCGTGATTATGCCGGATCGTTCTATGGATGCTGACGTCCCTCGTGATCTAGAACACCGGCTGGCTGGCTGATTCCCATCGCTATCCTCATCGTCATCTCCTTCCCTCCCGTAAGTAACCTTCTAGCTACCGATATCGCCCGGAATCGGTGATGCTCATGCACTGCCCGCCCCTTGTGATAGCTCTTCGGGCACGAGCTCGTCGCCGTTCTATGCGGCATCATCTGGGGCCTCGGCATCGGCTTCCTCATCGTCGTCGCCGGCACCCTCGCTGGCGAGTGCCTCAACTATGTGTACGTCATGATCCCTTTTGCTCGGCCCGTGTATAGTGCTAATGTCGCGACTGTATTAGCGTCTTCCGGTTTTTCTGTCGTGGCCGCGCGCAGAAGATCGAGAAGAAGACGATATTCTACGCGTGCTTGGCCCGCGTCGTACGCGAGGGCGGGTTCAAGGTCGCGCTCATCTCGCGGTACAGCGCCATTCCCGGCCACGGTGCGTTCCTGCCCTTCCTCCTCCCTCTTCTCTCCTTTCTCTGACGATCCTCCTAACCGCAGTGACGACCGCGCTCTACTCGACCTGCGGCCTCGGCTTTTGGATCTTCCTCGCCGCCGCCGTGCTCTCGCTCCCGAAGCAGCTCGCGCTGATCGCGATCGGCATGCTCGCCGAGGAGTCGGACAACGCCTCGGGCACGACCCCGAAGCACACCAAGATCATCTCCTGGGTCGTCGTCGCCATCACGGTCGTGATCACCGTGGTCGCCTACCGCTGGATCCTGAGGCAGATGAACGACGTCAAGCCCGTCGTGATCTACGAGCGGCGCAAGGCGAGGTACGTCTCTTCTTCCTAACCCCCCCCCCCTCCGACGTCGCTCTTCGATGAGGTACTGACGAGGGTCGCGTAGGCAAGCGAAAGGCGACTTTTCGCCGTCGTCCGAGGAAGAGGTGCTGATTCCCCCTGCGATGGCTGAGGCTCGATCTCACGTGTACCGCGTCTAAAAAACCCCCTCATAGCAGCAGACCCAGGCGCCGTCGGTGTAGACTCTAGCCATCACGGATTGCTCTACGTCCGGACACGAAATATGGGATCTACGGGGGAGATGCCAGGATGCGACTAGAAATACCAGCCAACCGCGGGACGTAATGTGTACTATAACCGACCTCGCAATGGACACGGACCGCGATCATGACCTTTTTTTTTCTTCTTTACTTTTTCTCGCGGAACTGGCCCTTGAACCGGACGCAGCGGCTCATCATCCCGAGCGGGCCCCACCAGACGTCGATCGTGTCCGCGTCCCGGATGGCGATGTACGCCGGTAAGTAGTCTTCCTGATCCCTGTCGTCGCCAACGCCATCAGCTATCGCTCTCTCTTTCCTTTTCTTGGGGGTTTTTTTAGATGAAAAAGAAAAGATAATGCGCACAGGAAGCCGGTGATGGAAACGCGGCCGGAGCCCTCGTAGACGGCGCAGCGGTCGTCGTCGAGCTCGGGGTGGTCCGGGATGCGGACGGGGGGCGCGAGGGGGCCGGAGGCGAGGTAAGCGGACCAGGTCTCGACGCCGCGGGGGACGTTTTGGTCGCCGACGATCTTGTGCGCGCTGAGGACGCCGTCGGGGGAGTGGGAGAGGTGGAGGAGCTCCGTGCCGTGGGGGCCGTAGGCGCCGAGCCAGAGGCCGGAGAGGGTGTCCGGCGAGCGCGGGTCGCCGGAGGGGTGGGGGGTGGAGGAGAGGGGGTAGTAGCGCGCGGACTCGGGGAGGAGGGTGAGCGCGGGGGGTTGGTGGTAGGGAGTGCAGACGGAGGAGGGGCAGGCGATGGAGAAGGAGAGGAGGGCGTCGTCGTCGTAGTCGGAGGTGGGGACGGAGGCGAGGGAGGGAGGGAGCGGGCGGGAATGATCGATCCAGGGCGAGGAGGCGTGTGGCGGGAAGGCGGGGTGCTGGATCGGGTAGGTGAGCGTCGCGCCGGCCGGGGTGCGGATGGGGAATTGGAGCGTGCGCGGTTGGGGCGGGGCGCGACGGATGTGCAGCCGGCAGGGGTGCGAGAGCTCGAGATCGGGGAGGTGACAGTACATCGTCGCTTTGCTGTTTTCTGTACAGGGCGTGGCGTCTTCATCGCAAGGGTCGCTAAAGGCGATTTTGAGCACGCGTTGTAGGAGAGGCGGCTCCGGGTGCGAAAGGTCAAAGTCGTCGTCGTCGTCGTCCGAGTCGTCGGGGTCGTCGCCCGGGCGGGGGAAGCACCAGACTTCGCCGACGATGCCGCCCGGCTCGTGGGTGCTGCCGAGGTCGAGGCGGAAGTGGAGGACGTTGCCGCGGAAGGGCGCGTCGTTCGCCCATGCGCCGAGGAGCCAGGCGTAGGGGTGCAGCAGGCCGGCGTAGACGGTGCGGAAGGAGCGCGAGGGGAAGTGGGCGACCGAACGGAGGTCGTAGCGCGCACAGTAGGCGATCCAGAGGGACTCGGAGGGATCTGAGAGGTGCAGTGAGAGAGAGCGGCAGGTGAGGAGGAGGCGGATGCCGTCTGTGACCGGGGCGAGCGCGAGGATGTGCAGGATCAGCTCGGGCGGGAGGGTGAGCGGCCCTGCAGGCACGTAGACGGCGACGTCCTCGTCGTCGTCGGGGGCCATTGAGATGCCGGTACTTGTCCGGTCGCTGGCCGCTGTGGGTGGCGACGATGCAAGGCGCTTAAACGCGACGTTCACGGCTGTGGGTGGACAGAGTTGGTGCAAGTAGTACGTAACTTCCCGTACATAGCACACCCAATGAGTGTCTGTGGTTTGCAATCCACCACCATCACCACCACCACCTATAACTAAGTATCTGATTCACATGCGACGAGATCTGATATGCGTCGGCGATGCCAACACGACTCGATGGCCCCCACATTTCAAAGCGCAAGCTCTGCATGAATGCATGCTCGCCCCTCGCCGGACTACATGCATATGAGTCCAACGCACTCAACCGCGGAATTCTGAATCACCCTTTCCGATCCGACTCATATCATCCACTCGTCGGTCGGTCAAAGTCTCGATCTGGACTGACAGCACCTCATATCAGTCGCCTTCACCTCGCCGCAAAACAGCATCGTGCTCCACCACCTGGCAGAATCTGCGCGATACACGGTCAGTGGCACTCGGGATGCACTCGGGCCTGTTCCTACCGAAGCAGACTAGCTATCTCAAACAGGATTTTCGACGTCTACTCACGGCTCTTGACGAGCGTTTTAAGTACAACGCCGGGGACGATATATCGTTTCCGCCGCCCGCGACACATGGTCCAGAATATGCAATCTGCACGTTTCACAAGCACGACCGCACTCAATCCTGCGGCGAGCACCCCACGCATATTAGAGGAAATGGCCCTCAAACTCCATCCCCGAAATCTGATAGCCAATCGACGCGCAGCGAATGAACCCGAAGCAAATCCTTGTCCAAGTGCTTCGAGGGCCTTCTGTCAGAGGAATACAAATTTAACAGCAAATGGTCACATCCTGCAATCCAATGGCCGCGGATTCGATGCGCGATGGGCACGTAGTTCGACGGGCGCGTGCGTATAAAACGAGCACATGTTCTTTGGACCGCACCCAGTTTCCTCTCGTTGAGACGCCTCTGTGTGGTAGGTATGTCAATAACCAATACTCATCGCCTAACGCTTGTGATATACTCTATCCTAGTGATCAAAGCTGCATCCCGACTTCAATCGTTACCCCTTTGCAAATCCTCATTTTTTTTTTTGCTTTGAATATGTTCGTACCGATACCACTGCATGATGCTCGCGCTAACCCGTTCTGTAGGTCCGGGAATCCTCCTGCTAATCCACGGAGTTTCATGCGGAATATGGCAACGAACAACGCACCAACGGGAGCTCCGCCCAAGAATGCCATCGCCAATCCATCCCTAGGAGCATATATCGCCGCCATTTCCCCAGTTGCCTCCCATAACCCGACGCCGTTTCTTTCTGCCACCATCGGAACCATAGCCAGCACGCTCGGTGCTGCTGTTCCTCCCGGTCCCGTCGCTCCTGGAGCGGGGACCGCGATCGTCGCAGCCACATCCCTACTGCGGGATAATCCTGTCGGCTTTAATCCCGGGGATCTGGATCAGGTCTGCGGAGCCGACCGCGATCCCCAGCAGCCTGCGCCAGCGCCGAAACCTGTCGTCCGGGCACCGTTGACCCATTTCAAGGCGTACTTCCTCCCACCCTTGCCAGCGTCAGAGAGTTTCACGGCGGCGTGGCCCGACCCGCTTCCCTTGATAACTAAGCTGGCTAAGGCCAATACCGTTCAAGATCTTCAGTTGGCATACGACGAATTAACGAAAGCGTGCAAGGATATCACGGTCAATGCGCTGCCCGCCGTGGATAAATGGGTTGCAAAGGCGTTTCAGAGCCTTCAACTCCCTAAAGACACAGTCCAGGCGCGAAGCGTTTGCGGGATGTTGCTGTCCAAGGCGTTGCGGCTCAGTGCTTTTACCGTGGAGACGTCATCGAAAGGCAGCTCGACTCCAAACCCTCGCGGGCGCCGCCGACCGTCGCGCTCTATACGACGAAAGTGCTTCCCTTCCCGTCTGCGCCTGTAAGTGACACCACCACATCGCACACGACCACGTCGCTCACGAGCCCGTCCTCCCCCTCTACCACGACGCACGCGCGTCAAATGCCACCGCGGCTTTCACGAAACCTCAAAGAACCCATAAGCGACTTACGTGCGAAGGTACGTTCACCAGACTTCGATCTCCACCGACACTGAGCATGAGTTTGAACGAACCAGCGCGAACCCTATGTATTATAGTTGCTTTTTTTTGGTCCCATTCAGAGGTGGATTGATTGGCTGCGGCGCTTTGTGTAAAGGATGAAGGGAGTTACATGTACTGTCGGGGAACCGGCATGCATTCCTGCATTCTGCAGGTTTTACCGGCAATCCAGCCGAAACTATTATGTTTCTGGCCAGCACGAACGTGACTTTGACCTGCCTGTAATTTATGTACTGCGTTTACGAGATGTTGCTTCCAATTTGGCCTTTTGATCAGTATAAGTGACTCGACTATTTGTCTCAATGATATGTGCCTCAAGGATATCACAACAACGGGGGAACCAAGTGTTGGAGGATTAGATTAAGAGTCGGCTGCCGCCGCCTCGCACTCACATGGCTCCCCCCGCAATATCCTATTATCCTATCTACTCACTACTTTATATCATGTCTCGCATGTATGTCGCGCCTTGCGCGTTTGCAGTAGAGGCCCCCAATCTATTCTCTCTCTCGCTCGCGTCGCTTGCGCCTCACTCACTGACACCAAGTTTTGCGTGGAAATGTGCTGAACACTGTCATGTAAACTTTCAACATTAGATTAGGTTGTGAAACCTCGCCACTTCCGGATAAAACAAAGAGCTCGTTGCTCGAAATTGATGATGTGTTACTTGATGCAAAAACAAGATCTAAATGTCTAAGAAGTTACCTTGCAGAAATGGATAGCATTCTTTTGGAAATGATTGTTTGTGATGTCCAACAAATGGGCAGACCAGTCACTTAGTAGCTTGCAATCCAAAAGTTGATGACATATATTTGATTCTGAGCACTGGTCAATTTCACGTCACTGCAGCGGAACTTGCTGTCTAGTACAAGTTTCCATGCAGTGATGGGAAATTGACCAGCCTGCGAACTGAGAATTATGGTGACCAGTTCTGAATTATAAATTACTAGGTTATTTATCTGTCAGTTTCTTGGTCATTACAAACAATCATTTCCGAAAGAATGCTATCCATTTCTGCAAGGTAACTTTTTAGACATTTAGACCTTGTTTTTGCATCAAGTAACACATCATCAATTTCGACGAGCTCTTTGGCTTATCCGGAAGTGGCGAGGTTTCATGACCTAATCTAATTCTTAAAATTTACATGACAGTGTTCAGCACATTTCCACGCAAAACTTGGTTCCCCCGTTGCTGTGTATGCGCATCAAGAATATCTGCCGACTTACTGCGAGGTTACGTCAGCAGTGATGGCCCCTATTTCACCGATGGCGGTCGCTACCTTGATACACTACTATGCAGGAAACAGTACTAGTGCTCAGTAGTGGCTCTGATGTATTGCGGTAATCGGTAGAGGTGTTCCTTGAGCCACGCAGGATTACAAGGCAACACAGAGAAATCGGAGTGCTATGTCGTGTGCGGGCCGAGAGCTCAGAAGAATGGATCTACTCAGAGCAGCCGTCTAACCGTTGCTGTCCGAACGGTTGCAGGATGTGCAGAGACCGAGCTCGCCATCGACGCGTCAGTCGATACAGCAAATCTTCTCGATGTAGTACGAGCGCCGGTATCAGCAAGTTGCAGTTGGTGGATCAAAGTTGCAGTCGGTGGATCAGAGTGTATCGGACGGAAGATGTCTTGCCAAGGGAAGTGTAACGGTGGGAAACTGTTGCCATATCCGCAGCACAGGGTGGTAACCACCGCCCCCTTGTCAGCGCCCTTAACGCAGTGAGCCCGTCCCCGTCCCCGTCGTCGTCTATACCATCCCCGGGGCAGCGCCTCGCCCCCTTCTCCCCTCCGCTCTCTGCCCACCCTCTACTCTATATTCTCTCTATCTGTGCTTGTACGATATCGACCGACCAACCGACGACCTAAACCACCGTCTCACACTCGCCATCAATACCTAGTTCGATACCCCCACCGCTGACTCCTGCTCCTCGAATGGCCCAACCGTATCCGGCATATGGCGCGCCTCAACCCAACTATGGATACCCCTACCCCCCCGCCGCCGACTACAGCGCCGCCACCCTCGGCGCCAACAACCACACCATCACCGGTGGCAAGCCAGAGTACGCGGGCCGCACCATCACCCGCACGCCGAGCCCGACCCCGAGCGAGCAGGCCGAGCTCACCCGCAAGGGCGCGATCGACTTCAAGGCGATGATGAACTGGCGGTACTGGATCCGCAGGGAGTGGTTGTGTGAGTCCGCGCTGGACCGTGTTTCACTGTATGCTGACCGCGTGCAGGGTACTACATCCTCGGCGCCATCCTCGTCGTCCTCACCGCCCTCATGACCATCTACCACAAGCAAATCGTCCATTGGCTCACCCCCGCCGGCGAATGGATGCGCGAGTACGTACCACCACCCGGCTGCCCTTCTATGACCTCACACCGCGAACACGTTTCACTCATCCATTTCGCTCCCCCAGTCTCAAGTTCGGCTTCTTGATTCCCATCGCGATCCTGTTCGTCATCTCGTTCCCGCCTCTCTTCGGACACGAGATCGTCGCCGTCCTCTGCGGTCTCGTCTGGGGCCTCGGCATTGGCTTTGCCATCGTCGCCGCGGGCACGTTCATCGGAGAGCTCGGCAACTTCTAGTGAGCCTTCCCCCTTTCTCCACGGTATTCGGTATTCTGACATGGCTTGAGCGCAGCGCGTTCAAGTACTGCTGCCGTGCGCGCGGCGAGAAAATGGAGAAGACGAACATCGGCTACGCCTGCCTCGCCAAGGTCGTCCGCGACGGCGGGTTCAAGATCGCGCTCATTGCGCGTCTCAGTGCCATCCCCGGCCACTGTGAGTTCCTTCCCCCCCACACTCCCTTCGTCGTCGTGCCCGCGTCCTGACGACGGGAAACGCGCCGCAGTCACGACCGCGGTCTTCTCCACCTGCGGCATGGGCGTCATCACCTTCTCCATCGCCGCCATCCTCTCGCTCCCCAAGCAGTTCATCACCGTCTACCTCGGGGTCATCCTCGAGCAGAGCGAGTCCGGTCAGTCCCATCATTCCCCTTCTCCCTTGAGCAGCGGCCTCTGACAACACGAGTTTAGGTCCCGTCTCGCTCAAGACGCGCCTGATCGACTACTCGGTCGTCGCCATCACCACGCTCATCACCATCCTCGCGATGTGGTATATCTACCACCGTATGAACAAGGTCAAGCCCGACGTCATCTACGCCCGCCGCAAAGCTCGGTACGTCCTCTCTCTCCTTCGTCCTCTCGCCCCCCTCAACTAACCCTTCTCGTGCCAAACAGCCAAGCCAAGCTCGCCTACGACCCCTCCTTCACCTCCAACTCGTCCCTCACCGCCTTCAACCCCGCCGGCTCGGACACCGATATTCCGCTCGGCCCCTACCAGCCGCAGTCCTACCAGCCGCATTCGTATCAGCAACAGCAACGGCAGAGCCCATACCAGCAGTGGGACGCCTCCGGCCGCGCGGTCGGCTACGCGCCCGACCCGCGCCTGCACGCGCCGCAGCCGCACCGGCCCGTCGCGAAGCCCACGTCGCCCTCGCCCTCCCCCGCGGACTACCGCCCGGTGCCCGTCCGGCGCGCGACGGACGAGTCGCTGTCGACCGCGTCCGGCGGCTCGGGCGAGAGCGTGGAGAGCTTGCCCGGCGCCCGGTTCGACGCGCACTACGCGCGCACGGGCGAGCCTTCGCCTTTGCCCTCGCCCGCGTACGCACCCCCGCCGCCGCCGCCGACGGGAAGACAGGCGACGAAATCGCCCGCGCCGTTCTCGCAGTACTACGCGCAGGACCCGCACCAGACGCCGACGCAGGCCCAGTTCGCGTCCTTCCCGCCGCCGCATCAGCAGCCCGCCTCGCCGCGCCAAAGCTCGCCTATGGACGGCGCCTTACCGACGCCGCCGTATCAGCAGCAGCAGCAGCAGTATCAACCTCCTCCGCCGCCGCCGCCGCCGCCGTCGCAAGGGCGACACGCGCAGGAGGAGACGGACGCGACGTTCTACACCGCGAGCGACCACTCGCGGACGGCGACGCAGGATTCGGTGTCGGTGCCCTATCTCCCCTCGCCACATTACGGCGGGGTGGGGATGGCGCGATGAAGGAGGAGCGGGGGGGTGTCGTTTTTAGTCATGTATGATGTCCTTCTGTTACGATAACGTTTTTTCTTACCCCGCGTACATAGTACCCCTCTCTCGCATTGTTTTTTAACACGCGCGCGATTGTACGACGTTTGCACATATTTATATCACGGACTTTTGGCCTTGGATATTCTCGGTTGCTTCTGACGCGTTTTCGGTTCGCGTGATCGTCCAAGATATGCTCCGCATCGTTCCAAACTCCAGCGCTAGCCATACGGAGGCAGAACAGCACGAGGCCTGGTATACGATAGTTATATCTCATTGCGCTCTTATCGAGCAATATTGGACGCGATTCGGCAAACAACCGGGTCTCTTTCCTGACGCGATGGTTTGTCCGTCCTTTTGACAGCAGACCGTAATGTATATGTACAGGATGGGCAATAAGAATACATTGCTGCACCCTCAACAGCAGACCGTTACCTCAAAGCCCGGGAGATTAGCTCACACGCTATCGCAGACTTCCAACGCCACAGCGCTAGCGCGTACCGGTTGCGGGGCGCGAACGCCTTTGAGCCCGCCGGCTGCGTCTCCACTGACGATGGTGGAGGAACTGTTGCTGGCACCTGCCTGATGACTGGGCTGCCATGCGTCCGGCTTGTAACACGGGACGAGAACTTCGTCCGAGCTCGCGGAGAACGCCACTTTCCCTTGCCTGTTTCCCAAAAAAAATGAGTCCACCGGGAATTTGGAAAGGGTGGGATGAAGGGGACTCACCGTTCTTTCCGCCTCTGGTGGATGACGTCGTTCTTAACGAAGGCCATCTTCCACAGGATGTAACGGTACGCTGCCGAGGTGGCGACCCCCAGGACGACGCTGACGACTATGCTGATCGCGTTCGCGCCCTTCGGGCCCTTGCCTGAGCAACCGGAAGGCGAGGAGTCAGACGGGAACGCGAGTTTGCAGGAACGGGACACGCTACCTTCGCCGGCATCCGCGGAGAGCCTGCCGACCGCGATCAGCACGAATTGCTTCGGGAGCGAAAGCACCGCAGCCGCCAAGAAGACCCAGAACCCGAGGCCGCACGTCGCGTAGAGCGCGGTGGTCACTGTAAGGAGGGGAGAGTGTGAGACGAAAGGATACCGAAAAACGACGGCGGCACGCACTATGGCCCGGTATGGCGCTGTATCTGGAGACGATGGCGATTTTAAACCCACCCTCGCGGACGATCCGAGCGAGACACGCGTAGAAGATCTTCTTACTCTCCATCTTTCCCGCGCGTTCTCTGCAGAAGAAACGGAACACGCTGTTCCGGCCACGATAGTTAGCACACCGGTGCCGGCCTCGTTTACACGTCCGGGATCATGCTCACGCATAGTTGGCGGTTTCGCCCAGGAGTGTTCCGGCGGCCACTACGGCGAAGCCGACTCCCAGGCCGTACACGACGCCGCAGAGGATGGCGATGATCTCGTGCCCGAATAGCTAGCAAAGACAATGATCGGATCGAAGTCTGCGAGCGTGACGAGAACGTGGTGGCACTGACCGGTGGGAACGAGAGGACGAATAGGATCGCGATGGGGATTAACCAACCTCCTTTGGTCCTGCACAAAACATGAGCTTATCGGCACGATGACTTGAGGATCCGGCGACCACTCACTCGTGCATCCAAACCGCGAACGGAGCCAGAGCTTCGATGATCTTCGTTTGAAATACGGATATCAGGATGGCCGCGGCGATGGCGAGGACGACGAGTGCGACTTTCACTATGAAGCTTGACGATAAGCCAGGATTGTACGCCACATAGAAGCGTGTTTCGTACCGATGTTCTTCGGCTTTCGCCAGAATTGTCGAGTAAGGATCGCTCTGCGGTTGACCATGGTGTCGCGGCTCAGGTATACTTGCTCGCTCGGGGTCGGGCTGGGCGTCCTGACAAGCGAGCGCCGGTCGAACGTCTCCGTCGTTTCTGCGAGACGGGTGCTCCGGTCATCGCATGGGGGGTATTGCGGCAGCCCATCGTGCTGTTCGGACGTTGGGGACATGATGGCGTACGAAGAGTTGGGAGATGTCATGGGATATCGACGAGGGATCCGTCGCTCTGGTATACTGGGAACGCAAAGGGTGGTTGTAACCCATTGCGGCGATGCCCAATGTTATATACGTTGGGAGCTCCTTGGTGCTCGCAGAGAAGACGGCATTCTTCCAGCGATTGTCGAGCTGCACCAAAGGATTCAATCCGTGCGGGGGTTCTGCCTTTCCATCATGTTCATCCGACGAGTTCATCCGCCGTGTGGGATAGGCATTGCTCCGTGCACAGCGTCGGCGTCGGTGTCGTATGCATGCTTCACCCAGGCGCATAGTGGTGTAGAGCTGTCGCGTTGTGGGCATAAAGCTGCTCGGATCGTCCTACTTAGCTGCGCGTGTATCGGCATGCGAGTACGTATGGGCCTATACCGGAACGCGAAAGTTCCGAGTCCATCGGAGGGCTACCGCTTTCGAGTACGAAACTATGGCGGGAAAGGCTGGAGTAGGTTTCGAGTAGAAATATGAGATAGGATGGGGGCAGATTAGGTTTATGGTGAGGGGCGCGGGCCACGGCATTCCGAGGACAGGGGCATTGCCCTGAAAGGTATGCAAACTGATAGCGGCGTAGGAAAGCTACTCGAGTCTAGCGGCGCAGCCGTCCACATTTTCTTCTTCTTTGCTCTCCACTTAGCCTTATATACCGTCACATAAACGCGTTTGCTCCCGGGTAGATACATTATCGATACGAATCATGTACGAATTCTATCTCTCAACTTGGGCATCACGAACCCAACATACAAACAACATCCTATCATGACCGAACGCGATGTCTACGTCTACGTACTGATCAAGCATGCATCGCACAGCCTATGTGAGCACCGGAAGGTATGTGACCGTTGATAGTCGCCTTTGAAACTCGGCATCTTGTCAGCGGCTCGGTCAATGAAATCACCCCTTTTTCAAGCTCCCTCTTCATTACTCCAACACAGTGACGGCGCCAGACCTGAACTCTGCTCTGCTCACCCTCTGCATGTTTTGATGGATGATCTACCAACAGATTTCACAGACCCGGCGATAAAGCTCGAGGGCATGTGCGTCGTTTGCAAACTCAGTACTATTGCTGAGACTATTACGATAGAAGATGGGCGATAATAATAATAATACAATGTACATCGCCGCACCCCGCCTCAAGCCCCGGAACTCCCTCACACCTTATCATATATTTCAGAGGCCGCGGGACCAACGCGTACCGGCTGCGGAGCGCGAACGACTCCGCCTCCAACGATGGTGGAGGAGCTGCTGCTCGCACCTGCGTGATGACCGGGTTGCCACGCGTCCGACTTGTAGCTCGGAATGAGCGCCTCGTCCGAGCTTGATGCAAAGGCCGTTTTCCTTTGTCTATGTCCCCAGGCCGTTTAGTTACGAGCTAAGCGAGAAGAAGGCAGACGGGCGGCTTACCGCTCTTTGCGTCTTTGGTAGATGATGTCATTCTTGACGGCGGCCATCTTCTTCAGAATGTAATGGTACGCAAGCGACGTCGCGACTCCTAAAATGATGCTAACGATGATACTTATCGTGTTCGCGCCTTTCGGGCCCTTGCCTGGAGTAGATTATCAGTGATGCGGAGCGTGATCAAGCATCAGAAGACATTCACCTTCTCCCGCATCTTCGGAGAGAACGCCCACTGCAATCAGCACAAATTGCTTGGGCAACGACAGAACGGCCGCAGCCAAAAAGATCCAGAACCCCAGTCCGCATGTCGAGTAAAGCGCCGTGGTCACTGGAGAGAACGTTGAACAAACCAAGGCAAGGCGTACAATACAATCAATGCGCTTACGATGGCCCGGAATAGCGCTGTACCTCGAGATGAGCGCAATCTTGAATCCTCCCTCGCGAACGACACGCGCGAGGCACCCATAGAAAATTTCCTTCTTCTCCAGCTTCCCCGCTCGTTCTCGGCAGAAGTAGTGGAATACGCTATATCGAGGACAACACTTGGTCAAAGGGGTGCTCGTCGACGTTTTCAGGGCTGAACTCACGCGAAGTTAAGGCTTTCGCCAATCAGGGTCCCGACTGCGACTATGACGAACCCAATCCCTAGGCCATAGACAACGCCACAGAGAATAGCGACAATTTCGTGGCCGAAAAGCTTGGGTGGATATCAGGAGGATCCCAGTAAGAGGTGCGACGAGTCTCACAGGAGGGAACGAGAGAACGATCAGGAGAGCAATCGGTATTAGCCATCCGCCTGGGGTACTTCGCATGACATGAGTGACGGCTTCCCCGCCGACTCGTTGACCACTCACTCGTGCATCCAGTTGGAGAACGGCTTCAGAGCCTGGAAGATCTTCTTCTGGTAGACAGATATCAAGATGGCCACTGTGATGGCGAAGACGGTGATCGCGACGTTGACTGTGACGCAGATGATCCGCATTTGAGGACCACACCAAGCAAGAAGAAGGAGATTCCTCACTGAGATTCTTCGGTTTGCGCCAGTACTCTCGTCTGAACATCGCTTTGGGGTCCAACATGGTGTCGCGGCTCAGGTACTCCTGTTCGCTCGGCGTCGGACTCGGTGTCCTGGTGATCGAGCGCCGGTCAAAGGTCTCCACGGTCACCTCGTCTGGTTTCACGCTCCGGCTGTCGTAAGGTGGGTACTGCGATAGTCCATCGTTTTCGATTCGTTCTGGTCTTGGGGCAGAGGGGTACGGTGGTACAGCGAAGGACATCTTGAAACGAGAGAGAAAACCTTCCTTCCAATGCGCCGGGCAGGAGGGAGGGGGTATATGAGGGCACGATGCGAGGGTTCGACGTTATATAGTTTGCTCGCCGCAGCAGGGCCCCGGTATCACAGCCGTGCCCCGAGAGGAAATGAAATCCATCTCGTCACTAGCGTAAAGGCTACAAAGACAAGCTTCATCGTGAGTACGCAGACCTATGATGTAGTCCTTGCGTACTCTAACTGTGTCATTAGAGACCTATCGGCAGAACATGATGTTTTTCCGTTGCGCAGCCAGTGATCGGTGCAGGAGTTGGCGCACAAGCTGTGCGGAAAGAGAAGTTCTGTGAGAACATACAGCTTGTCGTCAGTTCATCTCGCACTGCGCACGCAGTGTCGGTCGGATCAGCGCCGCAGGTTTTGTGGGCGGGAAGGCTGCAACTATAGCACGAGAAGCGCGTGAACGTTGCGCGGAGCGGCGCGAGACCAGCACCGCCATTCGCCAGCCGCTTCTGGCGGAGGAGCTCCGTAGCTATCGGAGGTACACCGGTGCTAATTACTCTCCTTGTACAAACCTTCTATCCATTCACCCTTATCGCGTACACAGTGGTTTGATGCGCGACCTCTCGCAGCGACCGGATTAGGCAGGTTCTCACCTCAATACGTCAGGCGAGACGCGTTGTGTTGCGAACATTTTGCGGCTCCCTCGTCCTCTCAATCTCGTACTTTGATATGGAGCTCGTATATTGCTTCTACTCCGACCCTACGATTTCGCGGCGCGAGAACAATCAGTATGGACAGCCAAAATTTGAAGTCTGCGATTCGGCGGCGCAGGATGGACAGGCTCCGCAGGAGGCTCGACGGTGCATCACACTGCCTGGTCTCCGGGTTCTACCGCTCCATGCTCGTGTGCACGATAGCGCAGCGCCGTCATAGGTATGTCGTCCAGATCTTCAATAGCGTCGCCCTTGGGGTGATCGTCTGCGCCACCGTCATTGGAAGCGAGTCGCATTTGCCTGCACAGTGATACTACTAGTAAGCTCGGCCGTCACGGTGAATGAGCTTCAGATATGCTCGCCTGCTCTTCCTCCGGTCATATATGACTTCTTCTTTGACCTTGTTCATCTCGCGGAGAATATACCATCCCGCGGCAATGGTTATGAGCAATGTCGCTGCCACGACAGCAATGCTGATGAGTCGTGTCTTGATCGGAACGCCATTACCTACCGAAATTATTAAGGTGTGTACCAGGACTGAGTGGTCTCAGAGGCCACGCACCTTTATCAGAGTTCTCTACGAGTACTCCGATGAAGATAAACATGAAATTCTTCGGTAAGGAGAGGAACGCCGCTGCGCAGAAAACCCATATGCCTATCCCGCACGTCGAATATACGGCAGTGGTCACTGTGCGGAGCTGAGAAACACAGGTCGGAGACATTCAAAGAGAGTATGTGCGCACGATGGCCGGGTATGATGCTGCACCGGGAAACCAATGCGATTTTGAAGCCGCCACGGCGTACTATCTTCGTGAGACATGCATAGGGAACGGTGCTCGTCTCGTACTTCTCTGCTCGTGAACGGCAACATTGCTTGAACACGCTATCTCGCACAAGCTCCATCAGCATGCTCAAATGAGAGAAAGTTGAAATCTTACTAGAAGTTGCCAAGCTCTCCGAGGAACGTGCCTGCCGCCACAATACCGAAGCCTATGCCTAGACCATAGACAAGACCGCACAGAATGGCAACAATCTCGTGGCCAAGGAGCTGCGGTGCTAGGTTAGCATGCTGATCGCAAGATCAAAGAGAAACCTCACAGGTGGAAACGACAGGACAAAGAGCACTCCGATAGGGATTAACCAGCCAACCTCCTGACTGGAGACAATCAAGCTAAGAAGGCGCATTGACAACTCGGCATACCTTCTGATCCACTCGGACATCGGCCGAAGGGCATGAACGATTGTCCTCTGGTAGTGGATAAACAGCGCCAAGAATACGACAATGATAGTGGCAAGCAAGTAATGCACTATCGGGAGGTTGTTATGGATGCTGTTATCCTGATAACAGTCTGTAACGTACAGATTCTTTCTCTTCGTAACCAGAACTTGCGACTTCTGAGCGCCTTCCAATCAATGATCCCTTTTCGAGAGAGATATTCTTGTTCTAGAGGACTTGGGCTTGGTGTCCTTGTGTTCATCGTCCGGATGTTTTCCAAGTGTCGTATGGTTGCTTTCGGAGACGCGGTGATGTCAATGCCGGTCGACATAGACAGCCGTTGGCGCCCATCGATTGTTTCATCCTCGATTATCAACGTATCTGGAGAACGAAGGGACTGAGCGTCACGGAGGACATCGGCGACTTTTAAGCACTTACGAGGATTTGGCATCGTTGGAGCGAATGAAACTGGACCCGAAGAAAAACCAGGACGAAGGCATATAAGGCTTTATCTTCGTTGTTAACCGCAGTAAAACCGCGACTTCTTCATACCAAGGCGTTTCCCATAGATCAAAGGGCGGCAGCATTGCCGCAAATTCTCCCGACCAGAATAGCTGTGAGGAATGGGCTTCGAGTGGCTATGGAGACGCTCATTGTCCCCCGCGACTCGAAAGATGACCAACCAGTAACAGAGAATGTCAGGTCTTCCGCGGGATGAAGGCTGATGAGGGGCGCCCCTGGAGGGACTGTATCGTTCGCCAGAAGGAGAGCGCTTCCTTCTCACACCTGTGAGGTCGCGAAGCGCTCCCTCTTACACGCGCAGATCTTGCCAAGTCAGGTCCGCAAATGCAACGCACATGAGCATGGAGTGTGAAGATAGTCTAAGTGAGGTTGTATGGGGCCTCGGAAGCTCGTTCTTGCATTTTGACGCCGACAATATTCATCCCGTTTGTCTACTTGAAAGGTGCTCCGGCGAGTTCACGAGCCGAACACCGGAACAGGTACGGGTCGTGAGAAATAACACGTAAGGAAATGCTCGTTAACCGATGAGAACGCGCCAACACAGCCACAAACTAGACTGAGCTTACTCGTTCGACTTCAACAGTGGTCCTTGCTATCAGCGATGACATTGATCTTGACTTACGACTCGAAGAAAGCGACTACTTACTTGTGCTGGCGAGGATATCGACCGGAGAGGCCCGCCCAGACTTAGCCGAAGTGACGTGAGCAAGTATGTGGAGCACCGCCATCCTACTGCGCTGCGGTGATCGTACCCCAACTGGAAACAGAGTTGGGAATTCCAGCGCTAGCATTGCCGATAATATCTATGTACGAGTTCTGCTCTTCAAGTACTTTATACAAGCCCATCCAACTTCTCATTCGATTTCGGTCAATATCCCGGTCACATATTGCATGATCACACATTTTCGCGTCTGGAGTCGAAAGCTCCGTGTTCGTGTGCACGATATCGCAGCGGAGTCATCGGAATATCGTCGGAGCCTACAACAGCGTCGTCTTTGGGAGTATCATCCAGTATGCTGCTAGTGCTGATAGCGAGTATATTGCTTCTGCTTGTAGCCTGATACTGTTGTCTGCGCAAACATTTTTAGGCCCGTAGGTACCAGCAAGCGACTCTCGAGAATCAACTCACCTGCTTTTGCGTCGTTCGTATATAATTTCGTCTTTCACCTTGTTCATCTCGCGAAGGATGTACCAGCCTGCGCCTACGGTTATGCCTATTGTTACGGCCACAACAGCAAGACTGATGAGTCGCGTCTTGATCGGAACGCCGTGACCTGGAGGTGGAAATGGTATTACTATGAAGCGGTCGGAGTGATTCGTCAGATAGTTTGCTCACCTTTGTCTGAGTTCTGAACGAGTACTCCGACGAAGATAAACAAGAACTGCTTTGGTAACGAAAGAATAGCCGCCGCGCAGAAGACCCCGATACTCATGCCGCATGTCGAATATACGGCGGTGGTTACTAGATGGAGATGAGAAAACGCGATTTCGACAAGCATGTATGCATATGCCTACGGTGGCCTGGAATGATACTATATCTCGAGATCAATGCAATCTTGAACCCGCCGTCGCGCACGATCTTGGTGAGGCATGCATATGGGATAGTGCTTGTCTCATACTTGGCCGCGCGTGTGCGACAACAATACTTGAACGCGCTGGACCACGTCAGTGATAGAGCGAGTGTCAGCAGACGGCCTAGGATAGATATCGCGGACTGACTAGTAATTGCCGAGCTCCCCGATGAATGTGCCCGCTGCTACTATTCCGAAGCCTATACCTAAGCCCCATACGAGGCCGCACAAAATGGCGATAAGTTCGTGACCGAGTAGCTATGGCATAAGCTTTGAGCTCAGCACAGAGGGAGCTTCGACGGATGGGAAACCTCACAGGTGGGAAGGAGACGATAAAGAGCACCGCGATGGGGATCAACCAGCCGGCTGGACGACTAGACTATCATTGAGCTCCGTCATTGACATCGACAACGCGAAGCTTACTCCTTGATCCATTCAGACATGGGCCGAAGCGCGCGGACAATTTTCCGTTGATAGGCAATGAATAATCCCACTATAGCGATAATGATAAGGGCAGCAATGTAGTGGTCTGGTTCCGCATGTTAGGATCGATTTTTGTATAGCCATCGGAGCACGTACATATTCTCTCTCGCCGCATCCAGAATTTGCGAGATTTAAATGCTTTCCAATTGATGATGGTTTTGCGAGAGAGATATTCGCTTTCTGTAGGGCTGGGGCTTGGCGTCCTCGTGAGCACCGTTCTGGCGTGTTCCAGCTGCTGTATGCTCGGTATGGGAGATGCTATGATCTCGACACCCGTCGACATAGTTCGGACTGGGCGATTATCGGCTACAGCGCGTTCAACGGTCGAAGTATCTGCAGGTGTATGAGTTCAACAGAGAGCACAGGCAACCAGCAAACCACTTGCGAGTATCCTGCATCGTCGTTGAGGACTGTTCGCTTGTTCCAACAGGATCGAGACCAACGGAGGCATATAAAGCTTTCAGGTCACCGCAGCGTTTCACCGCAGCGCAACCGCGAGCATCTTCGACCAGGACGTACTCCCATCTACCAAAGACATCGGCAGCCATGCCGTAAATGCTCCCGACAAGATTGGCTGTGGAGTAAGGACTTCGGGTGGCTATGGAGACGCTCATAGTCGCCCGTGGTGTGAACGATACGCCGCCAAGCAGGAACAGAGAACGACAAGGTTTAGCGATACTACGCCTACCGTCCGGACTCCAAAGGCTTACTCAGGAGAGCTCAAGAAGCAGTCTGTGAAGTTGCACAGTGCACTCATGCCATCTATGCCGCATGCAGATTTTGCCAAGCCAAGCACTTCTAGGAGACCAGGTAGCACAAGAGTGTATACATACCGCGATTCGTCCGAAGTGTATGTAGTTGCCTCACGTTGTGATTACATAGCGGAGTTTACCGGGAGCGACGGAGCATGAGGGAAGCCAGCACGGCCTCGTTTGCAGAAGCTCGACCACTACGCTTGTTGCGCATGACGTCCCGATACTTGCAGGAAGTAGACGGCGATCGACGAGTGCGGTGTGATCGGAGCCTGCGGCGAGGTCGAAGTCGTTCCGTAGCATTGATGGCAGCCGACTACTGGACGTTGGGGTTGGATGATATGCACTTTGGTCGTGTTTGCCCTTCACACTCGCAGTGGCGCAGCAGCAGTAACATGATGATGGGCTACGACATATTAAATTATCGTCGACAAAACGCTTGGCTGCGCCTCCCAGAAACCAACTTGAACGCCGTCAACTTCGCCGATAAACGGGCCTGGAGGCTCGACCAAGGCTACACCATCGAATCTTATTCTGTCTCCGAGTCAGTCCCCTGTTTTCTTGGCGCCAGCTTGGGAAAAGAGGACGGTATGGTGCGCATCGTCAACGTCAATGCTCGACCTGTAATACCATACATCGTCCCCTCAGACAGCAATCGCAACTGTTCACGTCCCGCTCTGTGACCCTGTCCCAAGCGTGACGGTCACGATAAATACGCGCGCTTCGTGGCTGAGTGGTCTGCTCGAGGTTGATCCATCTCAGCGGAACGGGCGTCACAAACGACTGGCTGGAAGATGGATATCACGGCAAGCTCAACCCTTGCGTCTGATCCGACATTGACGACATCGACCCGACCACGTCCCTCAGGGAAGACGCACTGCATCAAAAAGTCGATAAGATAGTCGAAGTGCCACCGCCGGGGGCAGAAAGATAAACAGCTGTAGGAGTCCCTTTGATTTCGGCTGCGCGAAATAAGGATGAGTTTCAAGTATCTGGTCAAGAGACCTCAACGGTGGCTTTTTTGAGTCAAGCGTAGTGCCTTGCTGGGCGATAGGTCATGCGCGAGGTACGAGCGTCGGCCTATCAGGTGAGGAAGGTGGGCTTGCGAGGCTACACAGCCCCCACCTTTCCTCGCTTCCTGCTTCGCTCGTCGCGTTTCCCGCCCGTCCCGCCCTTTCGATTGGCACCAAGAGTCCTTAGGATCTTGGAGCCCAGAGTGCAGTTGCGCGTGTACGGTTTTGTTGTCGTTGTTGAACCCGCCCACGCGCGGCGACTCTCGCCCACACCCCGTTACTCTGCGTAGGTCCTCTACCTTACGCTCCACACTCGTCCGGGGCCCACTCTGGACGAGCCCAGGACTAGTTTGTCCGATGAGATGCGCAGTCTTGCATGTCAGAACATGGGTCCAAGAGGAGGGTATGAGTCCAGCTCCATCGCCGAAGGGAATGTTACGTATCTTCTACTAGGCTATGATCTCACATGTATGAGTATCATGCGAATGAAGGTATCATGTTGACATTCTCAACTATGCACGACCCCAGAACCTGCTCGATACAGAAAAGTTCGGCCCTGGGCCTTCCACGATGATGGCCGTATCAAGCAAGTCTTCAACCGTGCTTGGTCATCCCCGAGAACTCCCCTTCGTCTCATTACGCCATATGCTCTGGGGCCATATAAATCATGGCCTCTCTGCCAGACCAGATCCACAGGAATCCTGAAATCTCGTTCATTCCTGAAACTAGCAGCGTCGTCTGAGGCAGCGCGCTACATATGTCGCCGACACTGTTTCTGTGCGTTGATCATCCCATAATGCTCTCTACGCGGGCCCACCCATAGTCATCTAGTACCGGAACGACAGGCTATATAGGCGGTACCGTATTGGACACGCTTTACAACGCTCATCCGGAATGGTCGTACATCGTACTCCTCCGCAAGGTTCCTGACGGATTTGAGGAGAAGTACCCCAACGTCCAGATCGTGAAGGGAGACTACGACAGTATCGAAGTGATCAGCCAGGCAGCCTCTCGAGCTGATATCGTAGTTCGTAAGTAGCCAGCTCCCCATTCTGCATCGACCTCTCATCCTGACGAAAGACTACAGACAGCGGGAACTCTGACCACGAGCCCAGCATCAACGCGCTCATCGCTGGTCTATTGAAGCGTCCCAAGACGTCCTTCCTCATCCACCTTTCTGGCACCGGCATCGTCGCCGACTTCCGGGAGGGCAAGTACGTCGGCGAGCTGAACCCGAAGGTCTGGTCCGACATCGAGGACATCGACGCCATCACCTCCCTCCCCGACGACGCCCTCCATCGCAATGTCGACAAAATCATCCAGGCCGCCGCCGCCGCCCACGGCGACAAGCTCAAGACCGCCATCGTCTGCCCGCCGGACATCTGCGGTAAGGGTCGCGGGCTGGGTAGGACGCAGAGCGTGCTTTTACCGGCGTACAAGGCGGAGAGCATCAAGCTGGGCGCTGCCGTCTACACGGGGTCGGGCGGCAACGCGCGAAGCTGGGTGCATATCGAGGACTTGATGAAGCTGTATCTTAGTCTCGTGGAGGCCGCTGCCGCTGGAGGCGGTAACGCGGACTGGGGAAAAGAGGTTAGACGGTGTCGCTCTATCGCACAACGACTTCTCAGCGCTAATATGTACCCCTGTCGATCTATCAGGGATATTACTTCGCTTCAACCCACGAATCGACTCAGTACGATTTGGCCAAAGCTTCAGCCAAGTGCCTACACGCGAAAGGCTTGATCCTGAGTCCCGAACCCAAGCAACTATCGATAGAAGAGATTGACGGGCTATTGAGTGACTGGAAAATCCCAGGGATCGCGCGGTACTTGTTCGCGGGCAACTCGCGGACGCGACCTGACCGCGCCACCAAGTTGTTTGGGTATACATCGACGGCGCCGACGCTGTGGGATGTGCTGGAGGCTGATTTCGACAGTACCAATGACCCGCTTGTTTCGGCGGCATTGGATAAACAGTAAACATCGGCTTCGAAACTCGTTTGCAGCGTCGTGCATGAATGTACTATATGTCTATGGCCAACGACGAATGGATTTTGCATTTGTACGATTACATGAGGACGAGGGCGATGGTGGAAACGGCAGTCGCGCCGAGAACCGCGTAACCCGAGCGGTAAGCGCCTTTCAGGGTCAGGACTGGGGTGGGCGCATTAGCGTTCAAGTTGGTGCAGAGTTTGAAGTGGTAACGTACACTTTCCGATGTCCCAGCTCAGGTGGCGGAGGCCGTTCCAACTGTGGAAGGCGAAAGGAGCAGCAAGAATGGCCTTGCCGGCGTACTTGACAGCATCGGGAAGGGCCGCGACGGTCTCAACGACGTTGGCGCTGCTGAAGGTGGAAGGAGCCACGAGGTAGGCGAGGGAGAAGCCATAGAGTACTGTTGTGTGGGTGATGGCCGCTCGTCAGGAAGCTTCCGAGATGCCTGAGCTATGTATACGCACAGACGCTGAGGGCTGCACCGGTCATACGGTTGGCAATCGAACCAATCCATGTCAACTGAGGCTGGTAGATCGTGAAGTGAGGGCTAGAGGGGCGTCGGAGGCGCTGCTCGTTGAGGATGGCGTCGGCGGCCGAAGGCGGGAGCGATTTCGTCTGTACGGCACTTATGTGTACGAATCAGCATCTAGCTATACTATGTCCAAACCTCCTGAACTTACCGGCGGGGTGCAGCTGCACGCACGCGCATCACAAGCTGGTTGCGAACTAGATGGATACCAGTGTCAATGTCCAAGCACGGCATGTTGCACGCTTCGCTAACCAGCTTTGGGCGCAAAAGACGCATTTCTGAGTGCAGGTCTCAGACCGATAGCACGAGTGGTCATCATATTGGCCAAGGAGTTGAGTAGAGAGATCGTGCAGGAGAGGGTCGGGGACGAAGTCGGGAATGGAATTCACGTGAGTGGCCAATGGGTTTTTGCTCCAACGATGCTCCCTAAACGGCAAGTTCCTACGAAAACGACAGGACGATGCCGGCGCAGCGCCTTGGCCGTTGACCAAGCCTCTGCGACGTACTCAGCACCGGATACCGCAGCTCGCAGCTCAAAATCCCTCGTAAGAGGACGTGTCGTAGAGGACCGACTGCCTTCCGAATGCTGCGCCCATCCTTGCAAACACCCCACACCAGTGCAATGTCCCAACAAGCCGTCCAACAATCAATAGAGGATGTCTGGTACTTGAAGACGATCGAATTCGGCGACGGAGAAAGTCGCCAACGGCGCAAGATCATCACTCAGAACTTCAATGGGTGCGAGATTTTTCTGGTTTGTCCTCGGCGGAGGAGAGTGCCGATGTTCATCCTCTCAGTGCTCTAGACCGTGCTCATTCATAGCTATCTGTAAGTTCGCCCTCGTATTGTCCATATAGGCTCCTGAACTGGTGCCGTAGGCAATATCCTGATACTGCGAGGGGACATCGAAATACAACCACCAGAACGCACCTCGGTTTCTTACGAGTTCATGTCGCAACTTGTCGGAGAATACCTACTATTGCACTGTCCTGACGTGGACATCTCTGCTGCGCTATCCATCATGCCACGGACTACTAGTAAATTCTACATCAATGCCCGTGTGTCCCCATGCTGACATACTTTATCAGAGGGGATGGACCTGAACCCGTTATTTACCTCGCACACCTCCTTCCGCCCTGCCGGCTCGGACACTTCTGGCGGTGAACTTCAGCTATTCGATCAGGCCGGCATCAAACTCGTTCATGGATGGCTCGTCGACCCCGACAGTCCAGAACACCCAGCGGTGGCAAAGACCGAGGACTACGACACTTCTGTGAACCTGGTAGTGGAAGCTGACCACCTCACCAAGGGTCGTCTGGTGACTACAGAAGCCGACTACCTCAGCGAAGCAGGCCCCAGTTCTTCTTCCGCGGGCGCCGGTTCGTCGGCAGGTCCGAGTAGTCCGGGATACCAGCTTTCGGAACACGATGACCAGAAAGTCAGAGATGGTGCGTCATCATAATGTCTAGCCCTCGTAGTAGCCTTAATCGGAATGCAGCTATCGCGGTTCGAGGCTTCCTCGACAAGACTTCCTCCCAGCTTACATACTATGGGCTATTCACTCTCGCGTCCTCGCTTCGACCTGGCTCTCTCGTGGCGCTCTTCCGGAACTCGCACCTCTCCGTTCTATACAAGTCTCCGTCGCCAGAAGATGCTGCTCTGTACACTCTCGTTACCGATTACGCCTTTCTGCACGAACCGACCGTCGTGTGGGAGAGGCTCGAAGATGTCGAAGGGCACTCCGCGACCTTCGTCGACTCGGACTTCAGGAGAAGTAGCCCGGCCGGTGGCGACTTTGCGGGAGAGACTGGCGAGAGCACACTTGCGGCGCTCGAGAGGAGCATGGCAGACTTGAACGTGGATCCCGCTGAGTATGACATCTCCCGTCCATCTTGACGCCGCTGATGCGATCCACCACTCGCAGTCAGGCTCTCGCGGCGCAGTTGCAAGCAGAAGAAGATGCTCGCGCGCAGGACATGTACCGAAGACGCGAAGAGGCACGTGCGGAGCGACAACGGAAGGCTGACGAGGAGGCGGCAAAGCGGGAAGCCAAAGCGCTCAAGAAGAAGCCATCATGCATCATCATGTGAAGACCGACGGCGCCTATATGGATATACCGCACCCGCTTTCAGCATGACCAGCAATCATTGTTTCATTCGCCCAATATAGAATACCCCATCTTACACGTAACCCGTCGTCTTATCAGAGTTCTCTCAATGGAATGTTGGCCATTCAGGGTGAGAACTCCTGTTCAATCGGAGCACGAGGCGTCTGCTCATAGGAGTGCTCACTGCCAGGGTTCCACATTACGAACCCGGTTTGGATTAATTTTTTCACGCCAATCTGCCGTAGATATTGAGACCAAGGACCAAATACAGCTTAGATTGTAACTTGAATTTGTAGTCTATACCGCGTCGGAGTCATGTACGTTACCATAAGAATAAACCCAATGTGGGATTATAAATACCAACTCCATTATGTCCCAAACTCGCACATGACGTATCGACTACAATCTAGACTTATTGGGCGTAAAAAATCCAGAATTGGTTTTAACACAAATGTATACTTGAAATATCGACTGAGGTTTCAACCGGCCCTAGATTTCAAGTCCAGGCGAGTCGCGTGTTCAATTCACGTTGACCGTACACTGACCGAACTAAGTAAGACCGAAGAACGGACGATGACCGACATCTCCGTGCTGTGCCAGAGCCATGTTCGCGCACCGCTGCGAATAAACATAGGCTGTCGCGGGCTGGTAGTGGAGG